TCAAAGGTTCTTCTAAAAGCCGTGACAAAAGCAGTGTAGTTGTAGACTAAAGGATTGTCATTCTCCCAAAGGGGATTGGCCCATCTAAGTGCTTTATCTATTAGCAGGGTTATAATAAAGCCTACCTTAGCCCTGTCAGTGGGGTAAGCCCGGGGTTGAAGTTCGAAATGTATGCTTATCTGGTTTAAAAAACCACGACAAGCATCAGGCGAACCCCCATATCGTAATGGTGAAGTGACATGGGAAGATGCGCCTACAGTGGCTACTTCCAAACCAGTACTTAGCGAGTGGCTGGCAGTGGAACGTATTTCTTCAGACTGGGTACTGGAGCGTGTTAACAAAGTTTGTAATGCTAAAGCCATTTGGTCCATTCTATGGTCCATGGCCTCAAATCTGGGGTCAGGAGGACTAGCACCTGCAGGATCCATCATGGCCCTGTCGTAATGTCAGGATACTGACAGGGATCCAATACGCAGAGTGCGGACAGAAGGAGGTACGTATACAGGACCTTAGAATGGCCGGACTAACGTAGGGACAAAGCAGAATAGTCAAAAGGTAAGCCGAGGTCGAGGGAGCCGGAGGACAGGTAAGCGAGATACAAGCCGAGTCAAAGGAGAGGAGAGGACAACAGGACAAAAGACAAGCAAGGGTCAAAACCGGAAACACAAGATAAAGAACGCGCTGAGTGACTAGCAAGCTAGAACCACGACAGGGCAATGAGCAGTAGTAAAGGTTTCCTTTAAATACCCTGTACCTAAATAGAGACCACGCCCCCAAAAGGTCCGGAATAGCGGTTCCCGGCACTTTATGCAAATGCCGACGTCATGACGTCGACGCTAGCCGTCGCGTCATAAAAGGGGGAGGAGCTAGCGCGGCCGGCGCGAAAACGGCCGGAATATGCCGAAAATGCTAGGGGCAGGGGGCCCCTAAACAGAGAGGATGTCTTCCCTGGATTCAGCACCAACAGGTACCCTGACAAAAGCAATACAATATACATTGGAATTTAAATAATGAAACATCAGTAATGAACCCTTTGCGTGCAATTAGAGACGTATAAAACAAACGCGATACACCAATTTGGCAAGTGTTAAAAAACAACACAGGGTGACAAGCAAGGTGTGATTTGAATGTGAAGAATTTTTGGAATCTTGAGGAATCAATATTTAATCGGATCGCCGTGGGGGGGTGGTGGTAATAAACGTTGTATTACTTCCCGTATTCTTGCTTTATCTGTGTTTGGGTTTGCTGAGGAGATTACAACAGGATGTTTGAATACTGTCCTTGACGGAGACACGAAGTTCTTTGTTGCAAAGCAGAAAAAAAATAAAATAAAAATCCATAGAGGATTGTGAAAGTGCTAGTATACAATTGTGTAATGGGAAGCAAAGGATTTTGGGTAATACGATGATGGCAAGACAATGGCATTCTAAGCAGAGAGTATTCTAACGTCATATCTGTTCACAGTGTGAGACCTTGGACTCTATGTTCTCTGTTTATACACATCCACAATCAATATGCTAGTGAGGTATACAAAAGACGTGGCGCGGTCAATATCTCCAAACCACCTGACAAGCTCAATCCAGATAACCGGTTGCATTTTAAAGGGGACATTACATTGTATTTCTCGCTGGCATTCCCATTTTAGACTGACGTTGCTGGAATTCATATATTTATTTATGAAGTTAAATCCCTCAGCTCTTCTGAACCTCTTAAATTAACAAGTCCTGTACTGATCTGTTTTCATACAACAGTGTTTAAAGGGGAACCATCATATCTCTGGAATGTACACCACTGAATAAAACATTAGAAATAACCTAGAACTTATGTTAAACTTTTGTTGTTGAAATGTTCTTCATTTTTTTCAAAGGAACTCTATGATGTTAAAAAATAACATGTTTCTTGACCTGCAAACTGAACAGACACATGGTAACAGGGCTTTCGCTGTATATGCCGATTTCTCTGAAATATGCACAAATACCGAGCTTGTATACATGCCAACGTGCACTACCTGAGTTAGGAGTGCCTTGGTGTGCTTCCTGTTACCTTCTCTGGGTGTTGTTGCAATTGGGAACCCGAGGTGGCTTGCTGCTGCGTGTGGGTGATGGCAGCCACGTTCCTCGTCCTTGCACTGGTGGTGCGGAATGTACTGATCTCCTACCACCATCCCTGGTGTGGGTGATCCCGTTCCACTCCTGGGAGGCAGCCCAGCTGTATCGGACACAAGATGATGTTGAGCCAGCACCCTCAGACACAGAGACCTGTATCATGGCAGACGACACATGCCCTCACAAGTGCTGAGAAGCCTGACTTCGCAATCAAGCTGGACAGCATACTTGATGCCTTCTGGAGAAAATGTGCACTCTGAGACCAACAGGCTATTGTTGCTGTACACGAATCGAGGGAGCAATTGCCTCTGGTGTTGCTTACATGCTCCCATCACAGATACACAGAACGCAAAACAAAGAGAGTCCGAAAATGGCATGGGAGAGGGCGATATTTCCCGCCTAAATACAAAGCTATACAACCAAATTTAGATGCAGCTAGGCTCCACCACAAGAGATTGGCCACTCACCCTAAATCCAGCTGCTGGCTACGACGCGAATCAAAGTTCCCAATGAACCTGTAATCCATACTGCACAGGATCTTGATACCACTAGGAGGATCCTGCGGACCTCACTAGGCCTACCCTACTCACATGACACAACCACATGTCTTCACTCAGGTGGGCTACTGGACCAGATACCGGGACTCTCGTGGCTGGACTCTGTGTTGAATTCGGTGATGAGCTCAGGAATTAATCGTCTCACATCACCATTACACCTGTCGTCATTACATGCTGCATGGGAAGGAATTTTTTTTAAAGAAAAATCATTGTGGGACTCGTAACTATCTTACATGAGGGGTCTCCTGTTTTTTTTCACCACTTTCTCTATATACTTCACCTTGTAAGATGCATCATACTATTGATGTTTTAAAAGTATATACTATGTAATATTTTATCCTTACCATGCACATCACAAAAAAATTATTTAAAAAATACATATTTCTATTTACCCTTAGTGTGATCCTTTAGTCATTTACGTAATGGTACTCTCTGTTAAACAAAAAAATAAAAGTAATGCGTCTCTGGGTCAGGCTCCTTTCCGCAGTCACTTTGTCTCTTTTGAGATATTTGCTGAGATGAATGCTTCGCTAATCCGATGCTTCATATAGAGACTAAAAATCTACAAGAAGCACTAACAGAGTTCAGTGTTACCGGGCTGGAGCTGACAACACAATGAAAAAACATTCCATTTTCAAAGGTCTTCATGAGGGATTGCCACTAAAGACGTGATCTCAGACAAATGTAAATATAAAGGATAGGGATAAGATGTAATGGGTTCAGTGCTTAGAGTATCCATTCAAATATACATTAAACATTTAGCAATTGACATCTCAATCCAGTAACAGGTTGCATTGCTTATGTAATCCTCTTCGTTCTAGTTTATTTTTTAGACCTCACAAGTATATATTTGTTAAAGGAGAAGAAAATATAATTTTAATAATATTAAAATAGTGTTTCTACTTTAACCTATCTACAGTGGGTTGTTATCTGGTGACTCTGTGTCTGTCCAACCAATGAGGAGTTTGAGTTAAACATATACATATCTTATTAAAATTACATGTATGTTAAACCATTTAATGTGTTACAGCACATCTGAAAATGAATAGGCTTACACAGGCCGTCCTCACTTACTGACTGGGTTCGGTTCTTACGTCTCAGTCGTAAAATGAATTGGTCGAACCCTATAGACTGTAAGCTTGTTTGAGCAGGGTCATCTTCAACCTATCGTTCCTGTAAGTTTTCTTGTAATTGTCCTATTTATAGTTAAAGGGATACTCCAGGCACCCAGACCACTTTTTATTATTATTATTATTGCCATTTATATAGCGCCAACAGATTCCGTAGCGCTTCTGCCCATTGGAGTGATCTGTGTGCCAACTCTCACTCACTACCCTTAACCCTGCAAGTGTAATTATTGCAGTTTTCATAAACTGCAATATTTACATTGCAGGGTTAAGTCCTCCTCTAGTGACTGTCTATTAGACAGCCACTAGAAGGACTTCCGTGTTCATAGAACACGAAAAGTGTTTTAAAATGATGCTGCACGTCCTCACGCTATGTATAATGCTTTCCTATGGTGAGGTCTAATGCGCGTGCGCGGCCATTGCTGCATATGTGCATTAGGTCTCCCCCACTGACTGACCTCGGTGGGCGAGGAGAGTAGGCAGAGCTTGACCCAGTGCCGAGGGACATCGTCGCTGGACTTCGGTAAGTCACTGAAGGGGTTTTAAGCCCTTCAGCAACATGGGTTGGGGGGTGGAAGGGAGAGGGGCACTACAAGGTCCTGCAGTGCCAGGAAAACGAATATGTTTTCCTGGCACTGGAGATGGAGAATCCCTTTAAATCCGCCCTCTTATAATATTGTAAAGCGCTACGGAATCTGTTGGCGCTATATAAATGGCAATAATAATAATAAGTGGGTATGCGCTAGCGAGCACGTGCGATAGAGCAGGTCTACTTTTGGGGAAATTCCCCCTAACACAGTTCAGCTCACTAGCGCAGGGAATCTCTGAAATCTATGTTCCGGGAAATTCCCCGAACAAAGACCAGCTCTCTAACGTGGGAATCCCTTGAATCCCCTCACCCCCCCCCATAGAGAGCTGGTCGTAAGTACGAGCTGTTGTAAAACAGGTAGGTCATAAAGTGAGGACCCCCTGTGTTCTCCACTGATTAATAAAAAGTAGGCTAAAGAGACTCTGTAGGCATCAAAACAATTTTAACTTAACAAAGCAGTTTTGGTGTAGAGATCATGACCCTGCAGTCTCACTGGTCAATTCCCCGTCACATGCAGGGAGGTGTGACTAGGGTGCATAAACAAAGTCATTTAACAATTCAATGGCAGAGAACTGAGCAGTCAGACTGCAGGGGCATCTAAACACCTATATACACCAATACTGCTTCACTAGGCTAAAGTTGTTTTGATGCCTATAGTATCCCTTTAAGTGCCATAATTTCAGTTTAAAAAGCACAGGAAACAAAAAACAGAACAATAACTTTATTAACAATATATATAATGTCATATTTCTGTGGGTTTAACTATTGAATATCAAGGTCAGGCATAGCAGGTTTAAGACAATTTGTGCATTGAGTGAACAGTACACAGCCAGTAATCAATGTTTGTTGAGTACGTTTCCCATGATGCTCAGCTTGTGGTAAATGGGACACGCACTCTCCAAACATCAGTGCAGTTACTGTCAAAACTAGCGACCACAGTAAAATAAAAAAAAACGTTATAGGTCCTTTCACTTGTCATCCGCACAGAGAATATGATTTACTAGCCTACACCTATTGATTGAAACCAGGGGTGCCCAAAAGGTAGATCCCCAGTTTTTATAGAACTACAACTCCCATGATGCTTAGCATGCCTTTAGAATGACAAGGCATCATGGAAACGGTAGTTTAAAAACATCTGGGGATCTACCTTTTGGGCCCCTCTGATTGAAACCATTCTGTTAGATTATATTTCAATAAACACAAGCTACATCACGTGTGTGCAACTTTATCACGGATGTCATATCTTAGCAGTGCACTTCTCATGTAACAAATCTACACAACGTTATAAACCACAAATCTCAGTAGTAAATATTTGTAATAACAGTTACACATGAAAGTTAAATTGAAAACGCAAAGTTTAACTGTTTGAGTACCAGATGATGAGGCACCAGTCGAGTTTTTGGACCTGCACAGCCAACTGCATGACTCTAGCCAGACTAGGAAAGACGTAGTTCATTATAACCCAGGCCAACATTGTCCTAAGTACTGGGTGAGTGTGCCGGTTGAAGAATTGATGCCCAAACAGAGCTGGAGATAATGTGGGAAGCTTAGACTTTGAAGTTCTGTATAAAGAGCAATACTTAGGTTTCCATAGAGATATCCCCACGTTTAGAAATTTGCACCAAAATTGCCCTTTATAAATACCCTTTGCAGTCAGACATGGTAAATCTTATGAAAATTTTAAAATGATCTAGCATACTTCTTTTTATGAACAAGGGAGAGAGAGAAGGCTCTCCAGCTGTTTCCTGCTTAGTAAATCACTTTCAATATACTATAAACCTTCCTCTTGCTGGTAAATATTTTAGCACCATTTGAATCTAAGCAGATTGCGTGCACAGCAAAATATTTTAAAGGGATTCTATAGTGTTAGGAATACAAATCTGTATTCCTAACCCTATAGTGCCCTCTGGTCCCCCTCGCACCTGAAAGTTAGCAAAATTAAATCTGAATTTCCAAATCTAGCCTACAATAGACAAGCTCTGACTACAGCTGAGTTGGTGAATGCTTTCAGATCAGCTATTTTTGTCTACTCTAGATGCAATAAGGCTTTCACTTCACTTCAAATCAGAGTTTAGCGAATAACCCCCTTACTGTCTCAGATTGTACAAACAGGTGCAGTGCAGAGGTTATCTGCCCCCTCTGTCAGCCCATCCCTGGCCCAGGTGGTACTCTGTTAGTACTAGAGGGATTTGTTAAAGGAGGATAACATGGGGCCCCATTATCAGAATGGCACCAAGCTTGTACCTCATTGGCAGCCAGTCATGCAATGTGCCGGGATAATGCCATGTTGGCTAACAGAAAATATTTTTTTCTTGTTAAACTTTTACAGTACATGTATATATATATATATAGTGATATGTATAATGGATTTTCTTTAATGTTATAAATTTGTTTTCACAAATATGTGAATTAAAACCTTATGAAATGTACAGGACTCAACAGAACAAATTAAAAATAAAAACGATTTAATTCCTATTTGGCAAAGAAAATAAAAATAAGAATAAGACAAAAGTCTCATACAAAGGATTCTGAGTTAACAGGACCAGTGTGTATGGCTACTGTGCGTACTGTAAGTCATTACACGGAATAGTGGTTAAAATAACCGAGATTGTTAAACAGATATCATGCAATATAAGTATTCCAGAGAGAAAATATATATAAAGCTGCATGTGTATATGCCATTTCTCAGAATTATGAACATTCCTTTCCCCCGTCATGTGGAAGAATCGAACTTTCCAAACATTTATATTGGATATTAAAAGTTGGAACATCCTATGCGTTTATTATTTAGGTGCAGAGGGGGGTTAACAGTGAATACTCCACTATGACTCTCCACAGGGTAAATGTCTCCCTGAAAGGATACAGGAATTACAGTTTGGAGTGTCCTGATTGGCTGATCCCTCAGTTGGCAATCTTATTGGTGCGTGGAGTTTAACTGAGATCTCTTACTGTCCAGAATCCCTTTCCAGTCGTCTTTCCAAGACAGAAGACATCTACTTGGTGGTGTCAGCAGGAGGTGTTTGTTGTGACAGGCAGTAAAAAGTATATGTTCCCACGTAGGGTTTGGCTCAGCACCTATCGAGAATAAAAATAAATAAATAAAGGAAGTCAAAACAAATAATCGTTTATGTGGCCAAGAAATGAACAATAACATTTTCGCACACTCATGCTGCTCGACAAGTCGATAAAATGTTCATTATTAATACATCAATAATCTATTCTTTAAGGCTGGGAAGAGAAGGGAAAAAATAGAAAATAGAGTGAGAAAAAAATAGTTACAATCATGCAGTTCAGAGGCAGCTCCAATCTCGTTTTCTTTAATTTGTTTTCCCACTAAAGGAATAGATAATTAGACATACTATAAAAAAGCACTCTTACACTAAAATCAATGTGTATCTGATTCAATGTGATGCCTGCACTAAAATTGGTGGGGGGAATGGGGCTCGGCCGTCATGCAGAGAGGACGCACAATGCTAGGACTCCTCATCAGAAATCGTGCTATATCGAATTAACCGATGGAATTCCAAGTAGTTTTGGGGACACTTAGGTGTTTGCACCAACGCTTTTACTTACCGAGCTGGACCACTGACTGGCTCTGAATTCCAGGCGGCATCCTTGAGGTGAGGGAGCAGGAGAAATGGCTGCTTTTTTTGCTGCCTGGAAAGTCCGAATACTTTATCAAGAGCCCTGTATCCCCCCCTCTGGTCCAGTGGGGGTTATCCAGGTCCTGGGAGTCCACTTCGAGTGGTGGATACTTACCCATCGCAATGGCGATGGAATATGAGGCCTGCCCTTCTCCTTCAATGTGGGAGGCAGCCAGCACAAGCAGATTGGACGTTATCTTTGAAAGCTTTCTGCTTTGGATTTATACCAGGCTGGGGAACACGGGACAAGTCATTCTTTCGAGGATCAGAAGAGACCGTGTCTACTAACTTCACCACTAAGGCAGCCTTGTAGAGGGCTAGCATTGTACTGTAGGCCCAGCAGAATCAGACGGGTGTGGAGACACTGTGTCCGGTGAGGCCTTCCTGTCATACGAATGCAGAATCTAGGATTGAGCCTCGACGAGGCCTAATCAGAGCGGGAAATATCTGCCTCACCACAGTGGCTCCTCAGCTGCTGTGGCATTTTACATCTTTCTCGGTGGCGAACTGTCCCACGTAATAGAGTGGATCTCTACTACAAGGTCGGGTGTTGGATAAGCTTTCTTGTTTTAGTCTATCATACCAAATGTCAACTTTATTATGCCGCACTTTTGTGCATACTGTTATGTAATACCAATGCACAACATAAATATAGATTTTTTTTTAAAAAGTTTAAAGGTAAAGTTATGATCTTTTTACCTCCATATTGTGGTAGGGAACAAGGGTTAAAAAATGCAGAAATCAGGTAAGTTATTAATAAATGTGAAACAAATAGTAAATGTTAAAGCAGCTCTGTCACAGTGATATGACTTTTGAGGTGCTTTTTTTCATAATCTTTCTGAATAACTCATATTGATTGAATTAGAATTTAGTTTTAAAATGTTTACATAATGAGGAGCTTCTGCCATCAAGTTTTGTCAATCCTCAGCCATTACCAGCGAAGAAAAAACATGGCGGCACCCATGAAGAAGAGCGTCAGGTAAATATTTCTACCTAACTTCGCCTGCCGCACACACACAATGTTAGTCAAAGTAAAGTTCTGTAAACTCTTCATTTATCCTGAGGCAGAACTGATTGTAATTTCCAGCAACATTTGAACCTTTTAATGATTATTCTATCAAGTATACATTTTTGCCGTTATTGATGGGTTCCAATTCCCTAAGCTTGCTACATACAGAACACCCCATACTGATTGCGCCCGATCCGGCAGGCATGTTGTCTACTGTCCTCTATTATCAAATGGCTCATTTGACTGTTGGATGAATAACAAAAATGATGTAATAATTTCATAATGAAAGTGTGGGTAACTACATCACCTGCCCATTGTTTTCCAGTCATTGATGACCAAAAACCCCATGATCTTCTAGGAATTATAACAAGTGCCTTTGGACATGCGTTATTGCCCTCTGTACATTATGATAAACAGTAAACACCCTATTTTACCATTAATGTCTGGACGGTCATCGATCAGAAGGTCAGCGGAAACCACAGTTTTATCTCGGGTCAGAACAATTTGCTCCAGAAACTCGTGTCCAAGATGTTTGTCCACCCAGGCATACTGTAAAGAGAGAGGGCATCAAGACATCTTCAGAGACAGCACAGACTGAGATGAGGGAGACACTCTAAAATAAGAGAGATAGCCAAGAGACAGACAAAGGAGAAAACTGACTGATAGACAGGCAGAAGTGAGAACTGACAGACAGATTAAAGAGAGAACTAACTTACAGAGAGCTGACACTCAAACAGGAGAGAGAATTGACTGACAGACACACAGAGGAGTAGACAGACATACAGACAGAAGAGAGCTGACAGACAGATTAAAGAGAGAACTGACTCACAGAGAGCTGACACTCAAACAGGAGAGAGAATTGACTGACAGACACACAGAGGAGTAGACAGACAGACAAACAGAAGAGAGAGCTGACAGATAGAAAAAAGAGCTGTCACACAGAAGAGAGAGCAGAAAAACAGACAGAAATGAGAGAAGACACAAGCTGACAAACATTAGACAGAGGAGGCAGTTATTTCACAGATTCTATTATTTTCTCTGAAAATTCTAGTGCGTACACAGCTGTGTTTAATTTATCTTCTGTCGTCTTAACAGGGCACTGTCAATTTTCAGTTTTTCATAAAACAACATTTTTTACAATAAACTCTTAGACAGCTGATTATTGAATTCAACATAACAGGCGCATGAAGGTCAATCAAATGAATGTGCCACACCTGAGTTCAAGCACCAGCCCTTTAAATTCTGGCATTTCTCCAAAAGCACACAATGAACAGGAGGACAAGTATTCTAAGTCAATAAACAAGCTGGATGGACAGAGAATGCTTCTGAGATTAAAGCAGAGCTGTCAGTTCTATGGATGTTCCCTGTTCCCTCGCCCCTGTAACCCTCATTTAAGTGCTTACAGTGCTGAGCACAGCAGTGGAGGTTAAGTAAAAAGAACTTGCCTCTGCAGTGCCTTTGTGTTTAGGGTGACATCATCAACCCATGAGGCCATAGGCTCACTCAGGCTCGCTTGGGCATCTGTACAACAATGGTGTACGAGTGCATACACACTAAAACAGAGCTGCCAAAGAGATAGATCCCAAAATTTTGTAGAACTACAACTCCCATGATGCTTTGCATACCTTTAGAATGACAAAGCATCATGGAAGCTGTAGTTTTTAAAACATCTGGGGATCTCCCTTTTGGGCAGCCCTGCACTAAAACATCCCTTCAGCAGCGCTGTACACAAGCATGCTCTTGCAATGTTGGCACAGCAGGGGTTAATTTAAGTTACATGGTATGCTCTGGATGTGCCAAAACAGACTGCACTTTAAACATCATTGAGATTTATTTAATTTCTTTCAGAGAAAAAAGTTAAAAATAAAACATTTGCAACCAATACTTGAGATTTACTTAACTATCGTATTCTGCAAAAATGAGGTTTCTGCTTTTAAAGAGTGAGAATGAGTGATATGTAAGAGGCAGAGGGGTCACATTGAAACACCCACAGGCACGTCTGCAGCAAAATCAGTGACCGGGCTGCACAGGCTCACTCAATGATTAACAAATTCTGCACTTACGGATTAATGCTCCTTATATATATATATGTATATATATATATATTTGCATTGTAGACTTTATATTATTATTTTAGTGGCTTATTCCTGGGGGCAGTAGATTAGGAATTCATGGCTTCTGTTAAATGTTTGTTTAGTGCAAATGTGCGGTTTTCTAGCTTTGTTTAATTGTATTTAATGTCATGAAAGACGCCAGGATATTTATATTTTAAGGCCATAATTGGTTGACCTGGAGCACATCCTGATCTCTTACCTGATGAGCAGGATGCCGTTATGAACAGTAAGATCTTGGGGACTGGGTGTCCCCAGACCTATAATAAATGAGGTGCACTCAGCTATACAATCAAATAAAACACAAATAATAACAATCACAATATATTAATAAGCTGGGGTATCTGAAGCTGCTCGGTCGCTGTACTGCTTGTTACACGTATCTTTTGTTTATATATCATGTTTGTAATTCTTTGTAGGCTCTATGTATTTTTCAGATTATCAATAAAGTGTGTTTTATTTTCTTGTCTCGTGGTGAGCACATTACTTGGTGTAATAGTGCATTTATTAGGTATAGTATGGGTTAAACAGTGATCTAGCACCCAGGATAAGGTTTATTTGTGGTTTAATTTTCTGTAAACCAGGAATAAACAATTCTGTGTTTTTAATGTGCAATCCTAATACGGTATAAACAATCACCCTCCTATCACACTCATAGGATCAGAGAAAATGAGAAGAGCTCATCACTGCTGTCCAACGTCTACTATTATCTTTCACCCAAAAAAAAGGAGCGGAGAGGGGTTACTTGTCAAGCATCCGTAATTACTGGGGGCCTGTAGATCACTACAAAGATGCCATGCCTGTCCTGGGGACCCCAATACGTTTTGTGAGTCAGTACCGATGGTCCCTAGCTCACCGAGCAGAAGGCTTCCTCCAAAAAGTAAAATTGCAAGCTGGTTGAAAATGATAATGTCTCACCTTCTCATACGGGCAGTACTGATAGCGTTTTATAGGGCTGGTACATATGAAGACATCGGTACTGTAAAGAGAAAAGGCAGCAATATTAATAAAGACCTAATTAACTTCTTAACGCTCCACATCTACTATGCAAAGAGTTCCATACCTACTGCCCCCTAGAGGATTGAAACACACAGGCAGGATACAAAAACAAACCAAGTCAATTTCAACAATCATTAACGGTACCTACTTGCCCCAAACAACTTAAACACATTTACATTGTTGGGGGCAAGAGTGTCCTAGCACCTTCCTATTGTATAATGAAGGGTTAGCTGGGCAGCCAGCATTCTCTTAATAACGTGGGATAATATACGCAGATTTCTACACTTTTCAAGTATAACCTGAGGTTTAGAGACAGTTATTACCCATAGGGAAAGGTCCTTATGTTCTCACTATTGACAAAACAGTCAGCCTTACTTGGCTTACCATCTGACTGTATCCCATGTCCTATGTTATCAGATGGGCCATATACACGCCACACTATCTATTACTAGTCCTATTGGTTTATGTTAGTCCAACAGTAAATCTGATCTTTAACCTTGTAAGTCATGCAATCCGGCCCTTATGAAGAGGTAGATCATATATAACTGACAATCACAAGTCAGTCGACCCATGGAATCAGTGATAAAAGAACATTTCTTTGATCAAGGTTCTAAACTAGTGCAATCAATACAGAAACGAAGAGAATGTTTCTGCTGATTCTGTCCAAGAATTTCTCTTAAACGGTTACTCCAAGCACCATAACTACTACAGCCCTATTTTCCAGTAATGGGGCAAACAGTTTTGGACTCTTAGTGAGAATAAAAAAGGGGGAAGAGTCTGCGCTAACTCAATTGAGCAGCAACCCTAAAAAGGGAATCCCTCACGAAAGCCTTTTAGAAACAAGAAGGTACAAAAAGAGGTATTAAGGGCTGCGCTTTGACAAAAATGAGTAAAAAAGTAGTATATGAATAAAATAAGCAGTAAAGATAAAAACAAGTAAAGTTCATCCGAATAAATAGAAATATAAGTTAAAACAGTCTCACTGATGTGCAGTAATATAGTAATAATCCTTAAGTGTCGCTCCGTCCGTATGGTAGGTAGTCCATATATGTGAAGACAAAAAATAAGAAAAAAAGCTTCCAATGGTGAAATATTGTATGTCCAAATGTGGTATATATTCAAAGGAAAGGTATTTCACTCACATTTGTTGGAGCTCTAACCAGCTCTAGGGGAAGAGGCACTTAGTGGTTTAATCCCCACTGTCGGATATACTTAAGTAGTTGGTCCGTCCGTCCGGCTTGAGATTTCTTTGATGTAGGCTAGGACCTACTCAGATGTGCGTTATTTGTTTATGCTGGGGAGATAGGTCCGCCTCTCCGGTATTGGATAGTAGATGTCCACGAGATATATATAAAACAGCAGATAGTGCTCTCAGTATGAACAACACAATAATATATTGAAATAAGTTATACTTACAAAAATAGAGCAGACAGGTACTGCTCTATTGCCACAGCGCTGGTGGAATTATCCCCACCTCAGGATTTCTTTGGACGGGATACACTTCAACAGTAAAAAGTGAAATAATAAAAGTATAATATAAAATAAAATAATTAAGTGGTTAAAAAATAATGATATAATATAAAGATGCCAGGAGTAAAAAATATAAATAAATAAAAAGTGTATAAAGTACAATAAAAATAAGTATAGAGGCCGGTCGGACGGAGCGGTCGCATGTAACTGCAGCTCCGTGATCGGCAAGCCCTAAAAAGCAGCAGAAAAGCGTCGAAAGAGCCTGAAACGACCCTATCAGGGTACCAAAAAACAGGGGAACCTCCTACCCTAGAGATGGCACCCCCAAAGTCTCAAAGGGCATCGGACTTCTTCTGGCAGGGTAAGGGAGGGAAGCAGCACATGGAACAAGATGGCGGCGGCTCCCGCTCACCCACTCATACCTCAGACGCAGGATCAGACACAGATGTGAGGCAAGTAACCGCTGATGATCTGTCTGTGTCGGAAAAGCGCCTTGCGGCAATGCTGCAGGATCTACGCACCTCTATGAAGACTGACTTCCAAGCTGCGGTCTCTGACATGCGCAAAGACATCCATGAAGTGGGGACACGCGTGAATGCACTAGAAGAAAAGACTGATGAGCTTTGCCACATGAATGACACCATAGTGGAGAAAATACAAAGGATGGACGCTGATAACAAACTCCTTATGGAAAAACTGGCAGATTTGGAAGATCGCTCCCGCCGCAATAATATCCGCGTGCGCGGGGTACCAGAAACAGTGACACAAGAAGAGCTGCCGGCCTACCTACTGCGACTCTTCCAAGCGATCCAACCAAACCTAGAACTGGCGGACCTCCACCTGGATCGGGCGCACCGAGTGCCAAAACCTCAAAACCTTGCACAAGAAGTGCCAAGAGACATCGTGACCAGATTGCACTACTACTCTGCGAAGGAAGCCATACTCACGGCGCAAAGGAAGGCCTCAGCGATGCCGCCAACCTATGACAATATCTCCCTCTTCGCTGACCTCTAACCAACGACAATGGCCAGGAGAAGGGAATTCATTAACATTACGAAATGCCTCAGAAACAACAAAATACTGTACAGGTGGGGATTTCCTACAAAACTCCTTATCTGGCGGAACGGCTCCCTAATAAAGATCGAAGATCCGGCGCTGGGAATGGACAAGCTCAAGACCTGGGGCTTGTTCCCAGACGGCAAAGCACCACACACCCAAACCTCCCTAAAGAAGGTGACCGCGGACTGGTCTAAAGCCTAAAGAACACTATCGCCACCCAGAAGGGGGTGCCGGCTACAGCACGACTCTGTTAGAGACCCGTGTGACCCCCCATGGTGACCGCCCCACTCATCTGGGAATGGCATAGCTTGAAGGACATTCAGCACCCACGTGAGTACTCTTGCTCGCCCTCACCCCCCCCACCCCCCCAACCCAGCACAAGAGAAAAAGTGACTGCCACACCACAGCGCAATTTGGCCCACCCTGTCACTGCGAGACTTACCCCTAAGCAGTCAGACTCGCTGCTCAGACCCTTGCAGAGACTGCCCACTAAAATCTGAACCCAGCATGGCCGGACAAAGGCCGAAAAACTGAAGGGCGCAGAGAATGTGCTCACCTCTCACCCCTCCACTCACGGATCTATACAGGACAGCCAACGGCTCAATCAAGCCCCCATATCTCCCCCCCCACCGCCTACTTTTTCGAGAGAGCCGGGCTCTGAAAGAGGTACAGGCCTCACCAAATATCAGACGCCCCCCCGATACACCTGCGGGACACCGCCTGCCGTTGCGACCCCCTCTCAGTGCAGTAGAGGGTGCGAGCTCGGCAGCAGGGTCCCTCACATAATGCTTAATAGCTGTTTGAAATGTATATACTTTATTTCTGTTTTATGGTTTTGTTTCTTAGGTTATGTTCCAGGTTGTTCCCCCTGCCCTAACCCCCTACCCGAGATGCTCCCCTTTCACTACTGGGTACGACGAGGGGAAAAAATAGCCTCACCCCACCAACTCTGTCATGTAGTGGCAAGAGAAAACACTACACCCAAACAACCGGGCCCTAGGGCCACCCCAACTAGTTAAAATGACCTCCGCCAATAAATTCCGCCTGGTGTCTCTAAATGCCCATGGGCTGAACACCCCACAAAAACGCAGGCTGGCGTTCTCCCAATTACGCACCCTACACGCCTCTGTAGCATGCATACAGGAAACCCACTTCTCAATTAAAAACCCACCAAAATTCTCGTCCACATCCTACCCACAAGCCTACCATGCCGAATAAGACACGAGGTGTTAGCATTCTCTTCCACTCTGATTGGCAATTTAAATGTGAAGTAGAATACAAAAGCCCCGATGGCCGGCTTCTAATACTAGTAGGACTACTAAATGACGTCCAGGTGACAGTAGTCAACCTATACACCCCCAACACCAACCAGTATGACTTCATTAGGAAAGCTTTACAACAAGTAGACAAGAAGAAGAGAGGGCAGACGCTTATATGTGGGGACTTTAACTGCGTACTGGACCCAGCTCTAGATAGGACCGGCAAACCCTGTTCCCACTTGCGATCAACACAACTAGGGATGAAAGTGACAGCGTTCCTCAATTCACACGGCCTACACGATACATGGCGTTCACTATACCCAGCATCTAAAGAATACACTTTCTATTCCAAGGTACATGATCGATACTCCCGGATAGACATGTGCTTAGTGGATGGGAAAACGCTAGATACCCTGGAGGAGGTATCAATTGCCCCCTTGACTTGGTCAGACCATGCCCCCCTCACATCAGTCTTTACCACGCTCCACCCGGTCCGGGGTCGGGGTCAGTGGAGACTAAACGAATCACTGATAGACAATGTGGAAAGGGCGGCCGAGATAAGGAGCGCCTTGGCGCACTACTTCGTAGATAACCACTACACCGACACGACCGTCGCAATGACATGGCTTGCCCATAAGGCAGTAACGCGCGGTCTGCTAATACGACATGGGGCAAAACTGAAGCGCCAACTGACAGAAAAAAGTAGGACCCTACTGACCGACTTAAAACAAGCAGAAACACGACACAAGGCCTCCCCCACACACTCCAACAGGCAGGAGGTACAGAAGTTAAGGGCCACCATAGAAGCACTACAGATGCAGCAAGTAGAACGGGCAATTCGTAAAATGAAAACCAACTACTATAGACAGGGTAACAGAGCGGGCAAAATACTAGCCTCCCAACTCAGGGAACGCATCTCGCAGGCAAAGATCCCATATATCAAGGACGACACGGGCACCAAGATTAGAAACCCCAAAGCGATAATAGACAAATTTGCCCAATTTTACGCAGGGCTATACAACCTGTCTGGCGACGCCACCCAACACCATCCCAGTCCCCAAGATATTACTACCTACCTAGAAGGGGTGACTCTCCCTCGACTTTCCAACGAACAGGCCGCTGCACTGACCAACCCAATTGAAGCATCTGAGGTATCAAAGGCTCTACACGACACACCCAGACACAAAGCCCCAGGCCCAGACGGCTTCTCAACCCACTACTACAGGGTTTTTGAGGACCAGCTACTCCCCCACCTCACTGCCTTATTCAACCACATTCTAGAGTCGGGGGAGATACCCCCGGAAATGTTGGAAGCCACCATTATTACGCTCCCTAAACCAGGCAAAACTACCGATACATGCGCAAACTACCGCCCAATCTCACTCCTCAACGCTGACACAAAATTGTTCGCCAAGACCCTTGCAAACAGAATACGCCCTACACTAGCTCAATTAGTATCCCCAGAACAATCAGGGTTTGTCCCGAGGCGACAAGTAGAAGATAACACCAGACGAGCCCTTGACGTAATGGAACTCATGAATAGAGATCGGTCACAGGGCTTAATAATGGCCTCAGATGCAGAAAAGGCCTTTGACAGACTCCACTGGGGTTACATGACAGAGGTCCTTCGTTGGTTCAACTTCCCGACAAAATTCCTAGCTGGGCTCCTATCCCTCTACTCGTCCCCCCAAGCCACAGTCATGAACTCCGGTTTCATTTCCAGTAGATTCGCCCTATCGAACGGCACAAGGCAGGGATGCCCCCTATCACCCCTCATTTTTATCCTGGCACTGGAGCCCCTGCTCCATAAAATCAGGACTAACCCCAGCATTCTAGGCGCCCCCTCCCCGACAGGCCCGCAAAAAATGGCAGTGTTTGCTGACGACATCCTTCTCTTCCTAACAAACCCTTCGGACTCCCTACCCGCCCTCCTGGCCAGGTCTCTTACTACAAAAACAATGTAGCAAAAACACAGATACTCCCGCTGAACATGCCCAGATCCCAACTCACGACCCTACGAACGTTATATCCCTTTGAATGGAGGAAAGATACCATTTCCTATCTAGGCACACAACTAGCACCTTCCAAACAGCTCCTCATAAAACATAACCACGGACGTCTCACAGCAAAAATAGAGCAGGTGCTGGAGGGCTGGGGAAGCAAAAACAAACACACATCCTGGTTGGGGCGCATCAACGCCGTGAAAATGATCATACTACCGCAAGTATTATTTCTATTCAGGGCCCTACCCATCAGTTTACCAAACTACACCCTCCGAGCATTTCAGCGACTCATCAACGCACACATATGGAGGAAAAAACACCCAGAATCTCACTAGCTAATATTAGCACAGCCATGGGGGGAGGCGGGGTGGGTGTGCCACACATAACCAAATACTACCTAGCAACAAACATATCTCAGACGGCGCGCCTCCTCTCCACCTCGAACTGCCCACTGTGGCACCAACTGGAAAGTGCGGTCTGTGCGCCTTACTCCCTTAGGGACCTGGTTTGGATCCCAGCCAAGGCCCAACCTCGACTCACGAACCCTCTCACAACAACCAAGCTGTCCCTGCAGCTATGGCTGAGAGGGGCCCCAAAAATGCTTAGTGCAAAGATAGAGACCTTTGCCCCACTGACAAGTCTCCAGCACCACACACATGACCTGGCTCTGGGCGAGTGGGTGGACAGGGGGGTGACGCAGATAACACACCTCTATGGAGCAAATGGGCTGCTAGTGTTCCCGGACCTCCAAAGCCAATACCATCTACCAAACAGCGAAATATTCACATACTTACGCATAAAACATATCTTAGGGGCCACCAGCAACCACCAACACAACCCCAAAACCACTTTGACTTGCTATGCCAAGGTCTAAAACCCCCCAAAAAACCACTCTCCCTGTGTTACCATAGGTTGCTAGACATAGACAGACCGGCCAAACAATTATACATGCTCAAATGGGAAAGAGAATTGAATTGCGAACTCGAGCATGGGAAGTGGATAGGGGCCATGACACTGGTTAAACGGGCGACAAAGTGCTTGGGCCATGTAGAAGCAGCCTACAAGATGTGGATGCAGTGGTACTACACACCACACAGGCTGGCCCAAATATACCCAGGGGTGCAGGATAGATGTTGGCGCTGCAGCCAACAAGTGGGAAACACGAGCCACATATTCTGGTACTGCCCGGCACTCAGCCAATACTGGCAACAAATCCAAGACATAATTAAATCCAAACTAGGAAAACAATTACCACTCAAGCCTGAACTATCTGCTCCACATGCTACCCCGAGACCTTACAGCCTATGAAGCAGCGCTGACTACCCACATCACCGTAGCAGCCAAAACGTGCATAGCCGCCTTGTGGAAAACTACGACAGTACCTGACATAAAGGCAGTACTCGCCAAAGTAAGCCTCACCCAACAGTACGAGCAGATGGCACATACAATAGGTGGCACACTAGAACACTACAACAGGACATGGTCTAAGTGGTGATGCCTGGGTGAATGGCAGGAACCCAAACTACGCCCCACCTAGCCTTAAGCAAGAGAGCATCTCACCCCTCCCCCCCCCGTACTACACCCTTATCCCAGTTACCCCCCCATACACAAAATAAGGGCTTACGTTGCCTTACCGAGCCTTAAAATATGAGATGATGAGCAGGGAAATCAGTTTCCAGCCTACAAGACACGAAAACCAAATAAATAAAACGCAAAGGTGATACAAACCCGGTTGTAACCATCTGGCCCACCCCGAAGAAGAGCGGAGGATACAGGTGGGAGGCTAACCCCCGGATGCCCGGGAGACGCCACTTAGAGGCATGATAACACACGCCAGAAAGCATGCCCAGCCTACCGGGTACCAAAATCAGGGCATTACTCACCACCTATAACAAAAGCATGAATGTCTTGAAACGAAACACTGTACCATTGCCACAAGGATGTATTGTAAAATGCCATTGAAAAATGTTATCACTATACACTCTCTGTTTATGCAATATGTATGAAACGTAAAATGTATGTTAAAGTGTCAATCCGAAACCTTTTCATCTCAATAAAAATGAAACATTTAAAAAAAATAGGGATAGAGTTGGTCCTATTATGAAGGGTAACCAAAAATTACTTTTATTGACTAAAATACACTTATTACAACCAATGGTTGATGGTTGTAATAAGTGTATTTTAGTCAATAAAAGTTATTTTTGGTTACCCTTCATAATAGGACCAACTCTATACTTATTTTTATTGTACTTTATACACTTTTTATTTATTTATATTTTTTACTCCTGGCATCTTTATATTATATTATTATTTTTTAACCACTTAATTATTTTATTTTATATTATACTTTTATTATTCCACTTTTTACTGTTGAAGTGTATCCTGTCCAAAGAAATCCTGAGATGGGGATAATTCCACCAGCGCTGTGGCAATAGAGCAGTACCTGTCTGCTCTATTTTTGTAAGTATAACTTATTTCAATATATTATTGTGTTGTTCATACTGAGAGCACTATCTGCTGTTTTATATATATCTCGTGGACATCTACTATCCAATACCGGAGAGGCGGACCTATCTCCCCAGCATAAACAAATAACGCACATCTGAGTAGGTCCCATCCTACATCAAAGAAATCTCAAGCCGGACGGACGGACCAACCACTTAAGTATATCCGACAGTGGGGATTAAACAACTAAGTGCCTCTTCCCCTAGAGCTGGTTAGAGCTCCAACAAATGTGAGTGAAATACCTTTCCTTTGAATATATACCACATTTGGACATACAATATTTCACCATTGGAAGCTTTTTTTCTTATTTTTTGTCTTCACATATATGGACTACCTACCATACAGACGGAGCGACACTTGAGGATTATTATCATATTACTGCACATCAGTGAGACTGTTTTAACTTATATTTCTATTTATTCGGATGAACTTTACTTGTTTTTATCTTTACTGCTTATTTTATTCATATACTACTTTTTTACTAATTTTTGTCAAAGCGCAGCCCTTAATACCTCTTTTTGTACCAGTTTTGGACTCTTACCTAGGTCTCCTCCAGTCTCCGGGTTTCCTGTGGTGCTGGTGACATACATGCGGCTTCCTCAGAGCTGAAGAATCCTGACACCAGTTCTGTTGCTATTCATTGGCTGAGAGTGTGAGCTGGCCACTCTCAGCCAATGAATGCAAGCTTGTGCAGAGGAATATGCACAGAATTGACATTCGCCAGCCCAGAGCTCTGGTTCCGAGTTGGCTAATGATGCCCCAAAGATGCTGCCGGAGGCAGAGCTACATCTCCAGGTAAATAGATTAAATGCTGTATGTGCAGCATTTCAAAGCGGAATGCTGCAAATATAGACTCCAGGCACCATGACCACTTCAAATCACTATAGTTATGATGGGGTTTGGAGTAACTCTTTACTTAGTTACATAGCTGAAAAGAGACTTGCGTCCATCAAGTTCAGCCTTCCTCACAAATGTTTTTGCTGTTGATCCAAAAGAAGGCAAAAAACCTGGTCTGAAGCGCTTCCAATTTTGCCACAAACTAGGAAAAAAAATTCCTTTTTGACCCTAAAATAGCAGTCAGATGTCTCCTTGGATCAAACAGCTATTACCCCACTAATTAGAAATTATATCCATGTATGTTATGTTTTTGTAAGTATTTATCCAATTTCAGTTTAAACATCTGTATGGACTCTGATAAAACCACCTCTTCAGGCAGAGAATTCCATATCCTTATTGTTCTTACTTTAAAAAAAAAAAACCTTTTCTTTGCCTTAGATGAAATCTCCTTTCTTCCAGCCTAAATGTGTGACCTTGTGTCCTATGTATATCCCTGTTTATGAATAGATTTCCAGATAAAGGTTTATACTGGCCACGAATATATTTGTATAAAGTTATCATATCCCCTCTCAGGCGCCGTTTTTCCAAACTAAACAGATTTAATTTTTTTAACCTTTCTTCATAACTAAAATGCTCCATTCCTTTTATCAATTTTGTAGCTCGTCTCTGGATCCTCTCCAGTGCCATGATATCCTTCTTTAGAACAGGCGCCCAAAATTGCACAGCATATTCAAGGTGTGGTCTTACCAGCAATTTATAAAGAGGCAAAATTATATTTTCATCTCGAGAATTTATGCCCCTATTTATACATGACAAAATCTTACTGGCCTTAGCAACTGCAGATTGACATTGCATTTTGCTGCCTAATTTGTTGTCTATAACAATTCTCAAATCCTTCTCTTGTGTGGTTATCCCTAATTCACTACAATTTAGTGTGTAAGTTGCTTGTGCATTCTTAACCCCGAAGTGCATAACTTTGCATTTCTCTATGTTAAATTTCATCTTCCATTTTAGTGCCCAGTCCCCCAATCTATCCAAATCTCTCTGCAGCAAAGCAATATCCTGCTCACATTTTATTACTTTACAAAATTTTGTGTCATCTGCAAACACTGATACATGGCTTTCAATGCCTATTTCAAGATCATTTATAAATATGTTAAATAGAAGTGGTCCCAAAACAAAATCCAAGTAGATCACATCCACTGCAACACCCTGATCTATACTTCTACTTACTTCTTCGTAGAATGCAATTAGGTTAGTTTGACATGACCGATGTTTCATAAAACCATGCTGATTATTGCTAATAACAAAGTTCTTCCCAATGAATTCCTGAATATTATCCTTTAATAGCCCTTCAAATATTTTCCCAGTTACAGAAGTTAAGCTCACAGGTCTATAATTTCCAGGCAAGGATTTTGAACCCTTTTTTAAATATAGGAACAACATCTGCCTTCCTCCAATCCTCCGGTACAACACCTGAAACAAAAGAATCTTGAAAAATTAAATACAGAGGTTCACTTATTTCCCCACGTAGCTCCTCAAGTACTCGTGGGTGAATACCGTCAGGCCCCGGAGCTTTATTTACATTAATTTTCTTTAATAGCTGTAGCACCTTGTCTCGAGTTATCCAATCACAATTAATTAATAGTCCTTAATACACCAAATGCAGTGGTTTCTTAGTCTAGTGAAAATAATATATCTCTGCTTAGTTACTGGGGTCCAATTCCAATAACGGAGGTACAAAGCTATCCCAGTGCCATAACTCATTGCTACTGTACAGCAAAATGAGGGAGTTTGAGAACTGATTCAATAGAGGCAGACATCTCATTGAGGTGCCCTGCTAGATCACCAGAGGTTCTCAAACCTTCATCCTACACTCCACACTACAGGTAGGAAAAATGTGGTGCAGCAGGTCAAAAGCAAGGGGTGCAGCAGGTAACAAGTACACATTAAGCATTCTTTATATTGTAAGCTTGTTTGAGCAGAGTACTCGTCAACCTATTGTTTCTATAACACTCTGTAATTGTCTCAATTATTGTTAAATGTCCCCTTTAATCGAACAATAAGTTGGCGCTATATAAATTCCAATAATAATATTATTTTGTCCAGCTTGTGTAGAAGACAATGACTTACTTGGTCAATTTGGACATTTCTTTCACCGCCTCCACCGCACCCTCAATCGGATCCAGGTCTAAAAAGAAGTTTTTTGCCTCCCAGATACTGATGGCTTTCTCCTACAAGGAAAAAAATACATTTATTACCTGGCTCCTTGATATGTGAACTGCGGGCCCTGAATGCCAACTCCATCCATGGACACTTGAAAATGCTGAAAATTGTCTATTCATTTCTGCCAGGTTTTATGTAGAAATAAAGGAAATCTAACCTTTGTTCGTTTATCAGCTTCAAAATAAATTAAGGCGCAAAAATAGTAAAAGTAACAATAACTTGTGTTAACCTTTTATTCATGGGATATTCTCTTTCCTTTAAAAGATTCTGATATCACAACCCATTTCAGTTAGGGCACAGCCAGGGCACTCTATGCAAATAAGGAGGAGGATAAAAACATTGTTTGTGTTTTTTTTCGTCCATTACATTCAATGGCAGAAAACTTTATAATGATAATCACCAGGATGCCAAGATGGAGGGGCCCAGTTAGAAGATATATATGTGGACTTTAGATTTAATTTTCACAAAACCATATTTTCTATACATAGGGGATAAAATAAACAGAATATTAAAATCATGGATAAGTGACATTTTCCCTATAAAGTTTCTTTGGAAAAACTGGTCCGAAACATACATTAAAATCAGTTTACAAAACAAGATGGTTGCCAAATGGCTCTTACTAATGCCTCATCAAACCCACATTCCTCAGGCCAAATACAAATCTACATTGCAACATATCAAACGATTCCTACAAGAAATCATATGGGCTCCCTCTCAAATTCACGTTTTACCAGGAATGTTAATGCAGTCACTTTCTCAATTCTGGATGTGAATATTTTACTAAGAGTGTGTCTAATATGCCTATACCTTAGCTCCCCTTATCATCGTCTTATACTATTTTAAGTGCATTGTGATATTTGTATCTATCATGGTCTAAATCAGGGGTGGCCACAAAATAAATCCCTATATGTTGAAGAACTACAACTCCCTTGGTGCTTTGCATGTCTTTGGAATGCTTTTAGAATGACAAAGCATCATTGAAGTTGTAGTTTTAAAACATTTGGGGATCTACCTTAAGGGCACCCCGGCTCTAAATGGATAGCGCCTGGAAAATTATTGATTATCCTGGTTTGTTTTGCAATAAAAAAAATTTTTTTTTTTTTTAAATGATGTAATAAAAATATTTCTCTGAAAAGATTTTCTCTATACGTAGTTAGTTGTACAATTGTGGAGTCTTCAATACATCTCTGGGGAACAAATAGATTTTACTTATTAATGTTGCTTACATTTGTCTATATACATTCAGCTTTTTTTGCAGCACAAATACAAATATGTTTAAAACCTGTTTTGGCTAAATCACTGGTTTTGGATATATATACAAAATATAAATATATATATATATGAAACAGCGGGCGTACGGAACAGGACAAAAATTCTGAATTCCTTACATTACTATGCAACCGTTATTTTGGGGGTACATTAATATTTTGGTTATTGTACCCCAAAACAGAGTATATTAACTTTAGTTAATTACTAAGTTATTGTAACAAAAATTATATATCAAGGGTGTTTAAACAAACTAATGAAGATTAATCTTTTAAATGCTGAATTACTAATACCATGCAAATTTCTCTGTAACTATAATAAAATTATAAATATTTATTCGGAAGATTCCCTGTAAAATTCAAACAAGCATTTATTTGTCAGAACGCAATGACTTACGCGTAACCCTGGCTTCAGATTTTCATATTGTTCCGATACCCAGAATCCTCGGCGGTCTTCCAATTCAATGTATGGCTCACTGGGGTAGCGGCTTCGGTACTTCTTCAGAAAGCCCCCTTCAAAGTCTGCAAGCACCCCGTCCATGTCTACCAGCACACGGAGGCGCCTGGGGCCAGAAGCGGTGGCAGAGTTGCGCGGCGTGCAGTGACGAAGGCCGGAGGACATTGCGCAGCCCCTGCGGAGCAGATTGGGTACGGATATCATAGCTGGAGCTAGGTGTTCATCGCTTGGGATTTGTGACTATCTAAATGCAGTCATAAAACACAAAACGTGTTACTCCCCCACCACTACAGGAAACCAAAGTCGGGGGATGTGTGTAACCCTTTCTAAAAAAATGTATGCAACGGCGTAAGGCAGAGTTATGTATTCAGTACAAGTGTCTCCAGACCTGGGAAACAGGACTGGCCAGTGACAGCAGATTCATGTGCAGGATGCACTTTAAATCCAAGGTTCTCCTGAGAGGGGGGGAGTCACAGTGTGTCCCAGGTCACAGCAGGGATCTCTGCATTGTCCCATATGGGAGCTTTGAATGAAACATGACCTGCTGCAATCAGCTTTCAATGGGGAGTTAGAAGCTCTGTGCAGAGCAGGCAGGGTGCTTTCTCAGGAGCATGCTCTGCAGCAGGAGGAATGGCCCTTTGAGTGCAGTTCCAGAGTGCTGCAGGAATCTGGCTGTGCAATGTGCTGCATGGTCAGCAGAGCAGCATGCAGTGTGAGTCAGAGCATTGCAGAGCAGTGTGCTGCAGGGGGGCTGCCATGCAGACTGGCCCATGGGCTGTTTACAAGGATCTCTCAGTTTGCAGAATATGGTGGAAGGATGTGCATGGCTCAGAGGGAATCCCCCTGGGTGCTCTGCCTTCCTGGGGAAAAGGCTCTGCAATGCAGTGCCAGGGGAAGCTCTGCAGAGCTAGCAATAGGCTGTTTCCTGCACGGTTGCCTTGTAAGGACAAGCTGCCTCCTCTTCTTAAAGGGACAGGCAGCCTGCAAAACACTGTGTTGGTTAGTGACCTGCCTGAAGTCACTTCTCTTTGCAGAGCTCAGGAATGCAGGCAATAAAAATAAATTAACCCCTCACATGCACTACCACAACCAATGCACATGTCTTCCATTGGATGGAAGGGCCTACTAGGCAGAGAAGGGGTTAAATATCATAAAAAGGTCATTTAGTGTCATTCACACAAATAGTTCAGCAGTTTTAACCCGAGGGGTAACAGCAATGCATATATTATTATTATTATTATTTTATTATTTATATAGCGCCATCAGATTCCGTAGCGCTGTACAATTGGATACTAACCCTTGCCTGGCAGAGAAGGGGTTAAGATGTGAAACTAGGGTCACACAAAGAATTCACCTTTTTTTTTTAACCCTTGGGTGCCATAAGGATGTTTACTGGACATTTTCACTAATGCAAAAATAAAAAGAGCTGTTGTTATAATGGTTAATAATGTAGTATGAGACAGATTTAAAAAGATAAGCTTTTTTTTCAGATTATTTCCCTTTGAGGCATTTGAAAGTGTCATGTTTGAGTTGTGCATAAGGTAGAATATAATTAATAGCGATTTAGAGTATTATTGGAATATTATCCTCATATCGTACGAATATAAATTTGTCCTTGGAATATTCCTATAGAAAGGACATAACTGTCTAAACGTGCCACATAAATTAAGTTAAAGCTCTTTAGTTATTAATGACATATTCTCTTTATTCCTAACCTGTATTCGTATTTTTGGTGAATGTGCAATGATAGTCCTGAAAAAATAACTTACCAGACTAGGCCCTCTTTGATTTTTCTCCTGGAATAGATGGAATAATTATTGGATTACGCACTTTTAAAAACATCTAATGTAAGCACAATATCTAACTATACTCTTTACATTATGGGCCTTGGCACTAACATAATATGACCACTACTAAAATAATCTTAAATAAAGTATCAATAAAAAAAAAAAAAAAACACGGACAATATACTAAATTTGTGAACATTGAAACCCGCTCGTAGGAAAGCATTACTCAATGCTTTCCTATGGGAAACTTATTTGACACTGGACTCCGTGAGCGCCGCGGAACTTGTTGGCGCTTTATAAATAATCACGAAGACCAACGTGACGTACGAGCAGACGTGGATGCACAATGGTAGTTGCAGTCTACAACAAATGATCCAGTAGAGACAAAATAAGCATTATAGGAGTCGCAGTTTATGTTCATGATGTGAGAGGAGGTCTGTGATATATGTTTCAGATATGACTTGGATGGAATAGATAACGCTGTTTATTTTATTGGATGTATAAGATGCAAACTCACGCTGCTATGCAGTAACAGGGGCGCAGCCAAACTGAAAATAAATAAACGAACAGCGCACTTGGCGTAAAAACATTTTTGTACATAATAATAATAATCCATTTAATACATATACCACACAGCTGAAAGCATTGTTCAGGTTTGGCTATTCTGACGTTATATTTGAAATCCACTTTGAATTCTCACCATTAATGATTAAACTTGGAAGTGAGAATGCAAAGGGAATTTCAAAGTAGACAAACTTGAAGCATAATTGACTTAACTTCACTTTGCATTCTCGCTCCAGTGAATAACCCTGAGAGTGAAGATGGGAGTTGGAGTCTTTTTAAACAAATAATCTAGAAAAAGAAATAACGACAGGCATTGCAATATTGTGATAAAGATGGAGATGCAGACTCAAAATGATGAAAGTTGCAGTCTAATGTACCAGAAGAAGGACAGGCATGAGGAAAGTGGCAGAGTAATGTCACAGATGGGCTAGAGACACAAAAAGCATGATAGGAGTTGCAGTCTAATAAGATACATTGTATAATCAGACTCAGTAACAAAATGGGCAAGTAAATTGTGAGTAATGTAGTAGCGGTGGTTGAGCATGATGGGACCAGTCTAGTGTAAGATATGGGAATGAAGCTGATTGAGCATGGCGGGAGTTGCACCCTAATGTCACACCGGCATGATGGGAGTTGCAGTCGTGTCACACCGTATATATAGACATACTGAGCATGATGGGGATTGCAGTCATGTCATACAGCATATATCAACATATTGAGGATGATGGGAGTTGCAGTCGTATCACGCAATATATATATATATATATAAAAACATACTGACGATGATGTAAGTTGCAGTCGTGTCATGAAGTATATATAAACATACTGAGGATGATGGGAGTTGTAGTCATGTCACACTGTGGGTATATATACACATACTGAGGATAGTGGGAGTTGAAGTGTCACATGGTGGGTATATATATACACACACATACTGAGGATGATGGGAGTTGTAGTCATGTCACACTGTGGGTATATATACACATACTGAGGATAGTGGGAGTTGAAGCGTCACATGGTGGGTATATATATATATATATATATATATATATAGACACACACATACTGAGGATGATGGGAGTTGTAGTCCTGCCACACAGTGTATATAACCATACTGAGGATGATGGGAGTTGTAGTCCTGTAACACACTGTGTATATAGACATACTGAGGATGATGGGAGTTGTAGTACTTGTCACACATTGTGTAAACATACTGAGGATGATGGGAGTTGTAGTCCTGTTACAGTGTATATAAACATACTGAGGATGATGGGAGCTGTAGTCCTGTCACACAGTGTGTATAACCATACTGAGGATGATGGGAGTTGTAGTCCTGTCACACACTGTGTATATAAACATACTGAGGATGATGGGAGTTGTAGTCCTTGCCACACAGTGTTTGTAAACATACTGAGGATGATTGGAGTTGTAGTCCTGTTACACAGTGTATATAAACATGCTGAGGATGATGGGAGTTGTAGTCAAGTTACACAGTATGTCTAAACGTACTGAGGATGATGGGAGTTGTAGTCCTGTCACACCGTGTGTGTGTATATATATATCTAGACATACTGAGGATGATGGGAGTTGTAGTCCTGACAGTGCATATAAACATACTGAGGATGATGGGAGTTGTAGTCCTGTCACACTGTGTCTATAAACATACTGCGGATGATGGGAGTTGTAGTCCTGTCACACAGCGTGTGTGTATATAGACATACTGCGGATGATGGGAGTTGTAGTCCTGTCACACAGGGTATATAAACATACTGAGGATGATGGGAGTTGTAGTCCTGTCACACAGGGTATATAAACATACTGAGGATGATGGAGTTGTAGTCCTGTCACACTGTGTACATAGACATACTGAGGATGATGGGAGTTGTAGTCCCGTCACACAGTGTATATAAACACACTGAGGATGATGGGAGTTGTAGTCCTGTCACACAGTGTATATAAACATACTGAGGATGATGGGAGTTGTAGTCATGTCACACAGTGCATATAAACACACTGAGCTCTAACCACACCCCCGGAACTAACGGCTTCCCACGCCTTTAATAAACCGATACGGCTGGGTGACGTCAGACGCACGCCGCGCTATGCCCGCCCCTTGCTCTCGCGAGATTCTGCGCGGGACCTGCGCCTTGGCCTGAGATCTCGCGAGATGAGTGGGCCGGTGTGTTCTGTCTGTGCTCCAGCCGGCGGGATCTCGCGAGACTTGGCGCAGTGAGTGCAGTTGGCCTGCGCGCTCCTCTCTGCTCCCGGCACCGGCTCTCCGCGGAGGGACCCGGCTCCCAGGCAGCATGGCGTCCGCACTGGAGCAGTTCGTCAACAGCGTGAGGCAGCTCTCCTCACAGGGTGAGACCCGGGGACTGCCCCTGAGTAACCCAGGGCAGGAGGAGGATGGGCCCCTGAGTAACCCAGGGCAGGAGGAGGGAGGAGGAGGGGCCCCTGAGTAACCCAGGGCAGGAGGAGGAGGAGGGGCCCCTGAGTAACCCAGGGCAGGAGGAGGAGGGAGGAGGAGGGGCCCCTGAGTAACCCAGGGCAGGAGGAGGAGGGGCCCCTGAGTAATACAAGGCAAGTGGGGCAGGGTGTCTGTAGTCAGGGTCTGTGTCTTTAGTACCTTTAGTTGGGGAGGGGGGGGGGCTCATTATGTATAAGTTTCACTATATTTCCTGAGCACATCTCAATGAAAAGTGGCAAAATGTATGAAATCTGTTCATTAAGCAAGTAGAATTCACAAAGGCGCTATAGTAATCTGTTTATACATTTCTCACCATCACCACCAAGAAGAGAAGTGTTCAAGAAAACATGTTGGTTTCTCTGTTTGGAAGAGTGGCCCTCCTCTGTATCTAGCTGGAGGAGCTGTTCTCTGTCTCTCTGTCTCTCTGTCTCTCTGTCTCTCTGTCTCTCTGTCTCTCTGTCTCTCTGTCTCTCTGTCTCTCTGTCTCTCTGTCTCTCTGTCTCTCTGTCTCTCTGTCTCTCTGTCTCTCTGTCTCTCTGTCTCTCTGTCTCTCTGTCTCTCTCTCTCTCTCTCTCTCTCGGAGTTGTCCTCTCTCTCTCTCTCTCTCTGTGTCTGTATCTAGCTGGAGGAGCTGTCCTTTCTCTCTCTCTCTCTCTCTCTCTCTCTCTCTCTCCTCACAGGAGCCTGGCCCTCTCTCTTCCTCGGCTTTGAGGGAGCCTGCCCTCTCTCAAGCTGAGAGCCGGGCCCCTCTCTCTCTCAGCTGAGGAGTCAAGGCCCTCTCTCTCTGGCTGGAGCCGTCTCCGCTGGGAGCCGGGCCCTCGCCTCTCCGCCTCGCCTCGCCTCTCGCCTCTGTCTGTATCTAGCTGGAGTGAGCTGTCCTCTCTCTCTCTCGCCTCGCCTTCACACCATGCCTGGCTACCGCCGCCTGGCCGCCAGCCTTCAAGGCCTCACAATTACGGCTCACAAGCCCGCCACCAGGCCTTCCGCCTCGCCTCCTCTCTCGCCTCCTCTCTCTCGCCTCTTGTCTCATTATTAGAATTTCAGCCGGGATTTAGCCTCTCTCTCTCTCTCTCTCTCTCTCTCTCTCTCTCTCTCTCTCTCTCTCTCTCTCTCGCTGATGAGCTGTCCTTCTCTCTTCTCTTCTCTCTCTTCTCTCTCTCTCTCTCTCTCATGGATGTGAGCTAGTCCTCTCTCTCTCTCTCTCTCTCTCTCTCTCTCTCTCTGTATCTAGCTGGATGAGCTGTCCTCTCTCTCTCTCTCTCTCTCTCTCTCTCTCTGTGTGTGTCTGGATCTAGCTGGAGTGAGCTGCTCCCTCTCTCTCTCTCTCTCTCTCTCTCTCTCTCTCTCTCTCTCCTGTCCTCTCTCTCTCTCTCTCTCTCTCTGTCCTCTCTCTCTCTCTCTCTCTCTCTCTCTCTCTCTCTCAGCTGTCCTCTCTCTCTGTGTCTGGATCTAGCTGGAGGAGCTGTCCTCTCTCTCTCTCTCTCTCTCTCTCTCTCTCTCGGAGCTGTCCTCTCTCTCTCTCTCTCTGTGTGTCTGGATCTCGCTGGAGGAGCTGTCCTCTCTCTCTCTCTCTCTCTCTCTCTCTCTGTGTGTGTGTCTGGATCTCGCTGGAGGAGCTGTCCTCTCTCTCTCTCTCTCTCTCTCTCTCTCTCAGCTGTCCTCTCTCTCTCTCTCTCTGTGTCTGTAATCAGCTGGAGGAGCTTTCATGTGTATAGTACAATATTGCCTAGGTGCAATCCCATGTTGAGAAAATATATATGAAGAATGAAAAAATGCACTCTTAGGACTTAAACAATGAAAACATGAATAATTTATTCCAGCAGGTATAACATCAAGGACGTTGAGAAAGACCCGAATGGGTCGAAACGTCGGCAAACTGATGTTATACCTGCTGGAATAAATTATTCATTTTTTCATTGTTTAAGTCCTTAGAGTGCATCTCTTCATTATATATATATATATATATTTATTACACTGCATTGGTGTATGCCACTAATCAGCAAACTGAGTCCTGTTGTACCATAGAGGCAAGTATTTATCAGTGTCAACCATTGATTCTTTTAAATGCATAGCAGCATGTCCTTCAGGCTTGTACTTCCTCCTCCTAAATGGAAAGTTATGATTTCTCTTTCAGGGCAAATGACCCAACTGTGTGAACTCATTAACAAGAGTGGGGAGCTGCTGGCAAAGAATCTCTCTCATCTGGACACCGTCCTGGGGGCTTTAGATGTTCAGGAACATTCTCTGGGGGTCCTTGCAGTTTTGTAAGTGCAGTTCAAATTCTACAGACCAGAACCTGTTTGATATTTGTCATTCAGGGATTAGCCAGAATCATGAGTTGGATACTATATTATATCCACTAGTTTAGAATTGCATTAATCATCTTTGGGACACTCTACGTTCTCATTGTAGTTGTTGTTTTTTTTTTTTTCCCTTTTTCTTTAAGGTTTGTAAAATTTTCCATGCCCAGTATTCCTGACTTTGAGACATTATTTTCTCAAGTCCAGCTCTTTATCAGCACTTGCAACGGAGAGCACATTCGATATGCTACCGACACGTGTAAGTACTGTCGTGTGTGTGTGTGTGTGTGCGCACGCTCGCGTTTGGCTTCGGCATAAATTTACGATCATATCTTATTGGTTTTTGTTTTATCCATAGTTGCTGGTCTGTGCCATCAGTTAACAAATGCACTTGTGGAAAGGAAGCAGGTAAATAATACTTTTTTTTCACAATCTTTATTGTAAATTGTGAAGGAGGGTACAAATAGGTGTGCGTAGTAATTCATAAAATATCAAGTACTACACATAATGCAGTAAACATAGCTCATTTTCTAATAGAGATGTTGTAAACGATATGCGTTCCTATGCTAACTTGGTAATTGCAAGAACCTTGGAAGGCCTCAGTGCCTCATTAACCGATATCATGTTAAATTTAAAGGGGACATAATCACATTGCCAGTCTTTGGTCCACATCAGACAGCATAATTAAGGCTGGGGAAGAGACTTCTCCTGAGATTGCATCCAGTAACTATGTAGCTGTAATTGGTTTTCTTTTATCAAGAAGTCAAAGGAGCACTAAAATGTTTGGAATAGAACATGTATAGTGCTAGAGTTAATGTTTAGGTGTCAAGCCCCCCTCTCTGTGGAGTTGGTGATGTTACTTACCTTTTCTCCCTTGCTGCGGCTGGCCGTGACTCTGAGTGAGATCATCCATTTTGATGATCTCAGCCAATCCAGTGTTTTCCCTCAGGAAACGGTTGAGGCAAAACTCTGCTGTGCCAATCAGCATCTTCTCATAGAGATGTATTGAATCAATGCAGAGGGTGGAGATTAATGTCTGTTAATAATGGGATATGAGACAGTTACAGGAAAGCATTTGTAATTGACGTTTAAAATGATCTATATAGACAGAATAATCCTGTATGAGTGTTTGCTTAACCACGTGAGTCTAGAATATTACCATTCTCTGTTAAAATTGATTTAATTTTACGTTAATTAAATCCTGATCTCTGAAGCTCACGTGTTACTACTCCAGGTTTCTGCCTGTCTCACTGTGTGGGGTTAAAATCTCATAAAGAATGTGCAAACAATATCTAAGGCCTTGTTGTGTGTTTTATTTTTTATTTTTTGAAAGATTTGTTTCTTGGTACAATTCTTGTTCTACTTTTCATGCAGCCCATGCGAGGAATCTGTGTCCTGAGGCAAGCCATAGACAAGATGCAAATGAATACAAACCAGCTGACCTCAATTCATGCAGACCTTTGCCAGGTATGAAAGCTATTGACCCAGTGGCTCAGCAGAAGGGCCATTAGCACACGTACTGTCTGAGCCTGGGTGACCACAAAATAGACTCTCAGCTCTTGTAATTCCTTTTGACAACCCCATACTTGGGTTTTAGGTGTTTTGGGTAGGCATCTGATTTTTGTCATACAGATCATTCTGTATTTTTTTTCATTGATAAGATTTTAAGATTCAAAGTTCTATAACTCTATCGCCGTTCTAGAGTACACAACAATATACAAAGATAATAACGGATATGCTCCTATTCCACAGTAGGTTCCATCAGGGACCACATTAGCCAAAGATTAAAGTGGGTACTATTGAGACAGAGTGGCCAAATCCCGTAGTAATAACACTAACGCACATGTTTACATTTGTAGATTAGGTATAGGGAACCCTAAGAAAACAAATAGAAGTGATTCTAGCTGAAAGCAGTAGAATGGAATGAGACGCGTTCACTTCAGAGTGCAAGAACCTTTATCACAGGTTAGGAAAATGTCAGTAAGTACTGTCTGTACATAACCTTGCGCATGGTTTCAAGATCAAGAGCACTAACTAAGGCTATTGTGTAGTGAAAAGTAAAACATCACATCCTATGGTAATCCAGTATTATCTGTAAACCTGTGAGTGTGGGACATTGCATTTTTAACCATCTGAAAACATATGGCAATTATCTTACACATCCAAAGTCTCCTTATATCATAACTCGTATAATAGGCAATAGTGTGTCTGTGTGATGCTTAGTGTCCTTTTAACCACTTTTCAATAACAGTTAAAGGATCACTTTAGTGTCAGGAAAACAAAATTGTTTTTGCTGACACTATGTAGTCCTTAGGTTCCCCCCCACCCGCTGGGCTGAAGGAATTAAAACCCCTTCAGCCACTTACCTTTATCCAGCGCCGGGCTCCCTCGGCGCTGGTGTCCTCTCCTCCCCCTCCGACGTCAGCTCCAGAGTGGAACAGAGCCGCACGCGCATTAAAAAATGCCCATAAAAAAGCATTCTCAATGCTTTCCTATTGACGTTCTGCATGCTCAATGCGATTTTCACACTGAGTGTCGGTGAAGCGCCTCTAGCGGCTGTCAGGAAGACTGCCATTAGAGGCTGGATTAACCCTGCAAAGTAAACATAGCAGTTTCTCTTACACTGCTATGTTTACATCTGAAGAGTTAAAACCTGGGGGACCTGGCACCCAGACCACTTCATTGAGCTGAAGTGGTCTAGGTGACTATAGAGGTCCTTTTAAGTAGCTTGGTAACAAGTTTGGTCTGGTGGTTATCACAGGACTGAGTAACTGAATACAGTTGGCGTGTGTGAGTATATATTCCCTTTTTATAGCTCTGTTCTTGTAAAATAACTGACAATATTCTCTTTTGCTTTGGGTTTCTATGTCTAATGAAACATAATGTAATGTGTACATTCTCTTTATTCCTCGTTGCAGCTTTGTTTGTTAGCAAAATGTTTTAAGCCTGCACTCGCTTACTTAGATGTAGACATGATGGACATCTGCAAAGAAAATGGTGCGTATGAAGCAAAGCCATTCCTGTGCTATTACTACTATGGTGGGATGATCTACACGGGCTTGAAGAACCTAGAGAGGGCGCTTTATTTCTACGAGCAGGTACCTTGTTAAATAAATGGATATTGTATTTATCATTATTTGTGTAAAATGGCAAAGTTTCCTGTTCTCCCTGATGCAGTGGAAGTGTTTTTTAGTAAACTGTCAAGTGGATATGGAGGTTGGCTTGTGTGCGTGTGGTCTTTTTCATTATTATTCTTTATAACGCGCCAACAAATTTTGCACAATAGTTGGACTAACAGACAAGTATTTATAACCAGACTAGTTGGACACACAGAATCAGAGGGTGTAGTGGGCTCTGCTCAAACATTTCTTTGTCAGAGTGTAGGGACCTGGGCGGGACATGCTTGTTTATTAGTGAGGATAGGTAGGTAAGAGCAGTGTTATGTATAGATTTGTAAGCATGCACCAGCATTTTAATTAAGCCAGTGTAGGGGCATATGATCATTTTGCTGTGTTACTTGTATTGTTGCCCCTGTTTATGTAAGGCAATACCTCTGTTTGGGGAATATCTAGAGTGGGACTACTCTTGCTCTGTGGAGACTACAGCTCTAAATTTTTTGTTTTGGCATTATGTGCCACTGCAAGCATGGAAAATCCATGTTTTACTAACAAAGGGTGACTTTCTACTAGCCAATTGATAATGGCAAGTGTAAATTTTGATCCTTGGTGGGTAGAGTCGTCAAATCCTTTTTGGTTGGAAACCCAACTTAACCAACCAGACGATGCAGGAACCAAAGAGCCTACTGCATGTCTGAATTCTCATGTCGGTGCAAACACTGAGCAGCTCAGAAATGCCGTCTGCCTGGTTTACAGACATTCAAATTGGGCTCAGTCATATACAGATAAGATGGCTGCTCACACGCACGTAGGGTAAGCCAGCCAATCCCTGAAATATCTGCATTACAAAATACTCATGTTTTAATACATTTGAAATCACAATATACAGATGTGTGTGTGTGCGCGCGCGCAGTGGATATTATGCAAAAACAAAATCTAAGGCTATGATCACGTTAACCACTGCACCCTCTTAAAGGGAACTGTAATAACTTTCTTTTTTCCTTCCTTCAGGCTATTACAACTCCAGCCATGGCTGTAAGTCACATTATGTTGGAGTCTTATAAAAAATATATTCTAGTTTCCTTGATTCTCTTGGGAAAGGTTCAACAACTACCTAAATATACCTCGCAGATTGTGGGCAGATTCATAAAGGTGAGGAGCAGGAGTTGAATTGGCCTGGGAGTAATAAAAAACAAACATTTATTTCAGCTACAGTATTTTAATGCAAGCCTTTTCCATGAAATTAGTGGATGTTAGCTGTTGTTTTTTTTTTTTTTTTTACATTTCTGCCTAATTGTTGTGAGGCTCACCAGACATGCATTTCAGTATTAAATTTAATAGGAGGAAACTTTAAGCGATACAGAATTAGCAGGCTGTCCAATAGTCGGGTGCATGCTGGGACATCTTAATGTTTACTAAATTTTCAGTATTGCAAAATGTACATGTAAGCCAAAAATGTTGTTGTATTTTAACTCCATACCGTAGATCATGTTTGGGGGATCAGTCTAAAAACCCCAGGAATTTTGTATGATTGCAAGGTTCCAAAACTGGCTTATAACTGCAGTGATCTATGAAAGACCGACCTATAGGTTAGCAATGCCAGAGGAAGCATATTCCTTCCTCCTTTGCCATCCAAGATCCACCCAAATAGTAAATGTGTTGTGCACATGTATCCACCAAACACATCTCCCCTTGATTTTACAACTCTGAATAGCGCCTGAGCTGTTTGGAGCTATCGGTTTATTAATCTGTTTCACTTTTCATATGTAATGAGTGGGCAGGCTGTACCACGTTATCACATTGATAAGATAGGAATGTCTGAGATAAGAGAGAAGAAACCATAGATCAGAATGACATCATCTGATTGGTGGAGCCTCTTCCTGAACTGAAAGGGGGCATGTCTACTGAAGCAATTGTGCATTACTGCTATTTGGACGGAAGGAGGGTGGGGGGTGGTGGAGTAACTATTCCAGCTTAAAACATGCAAACTATTTACTGACGGAAATAACAGCTGCTTTGTGTTTCCTCTAGCCTCTTAGCAATGCCTACCATGAGCTAGCACAAGTATATTCAACAAATAACCCAGCAGAGCTCCGAAACCTGGTGAACAAACACAGTGAAACTTTTACAAGGGACAATAACATGGGTTTGGTGAAACAATGCCTGTCCTCTCTCTACAAGAAGAACATTCAGAGGCTTACTAAGGTAAGGCACCACTTTCTGGTCGAGAGAGAGATATTCATTTGTTTTTGGGTTTCCAGTTTACTATAATTGAATTTTTGTGGTATGAACACAGATTGATAAGAGTTTGTCTATTATTAACTAGTGGAGCTATTCGCTTGAATGTAAGAGCATACTGGTAGAAAGTCGCAGCCAATGCCAACATAGTGAGCACCACTTATTTTGTTGTTAAACCCTTTTCTGTTATATCAACTACCATATAATAAAACTATGGCAGTTTAAGGAGGAACATCTGTTTTGAAATGACTGTCAAAGAATGTGTACATGACAACTATAAGCTTGGTAACCTCACTTCAGATTTTGTGTATACGATGACGACTTTGTGAACAACGTAAGCTTTTTGTCCCTTCTAGTACCGGTCATTCAAAAATAAAGAAATAAAAAAAAAAAATGTTTTTGAGTATGTGTGACTGTAAAATGTTTCTCCTTGCTTTCTCTTGTAGACTTTCCTCACCCTCTCATTACAAGACATGGCCAGTCGAGTGCAGTTATCTGGGGCTCAAGAGGCTGAAAAATATGTTCTACACATGGTAGGAATGTTGATCCTTGAACACTCACTCATTCCTTTTTGGAATTTTTCTGAAATTCAACTGTTAACGTCTAGTGTGTCATGTCAGTATTAAGGAATAATCCTTAAATTTTGTTTTTTGTTTTTTCCCTCTTAATCCCCAGATCGAAGATGGAGAAATCTTTGCTAGTATTAATCAGAAGGACGGGATGGTGTGTTTTCATGACAACCCAGAGAAATATAACAATCCTGCTATGCTTCACAATATTGATCAGGAGGTGAGTTTGTGTGTCTGATGCATTACCATTAATGTTGCATTTCTGCCTGTTCATCGTGTTCTGTAGTCTATATTAACTGTATCACAGAATGGGAATCTTTCTCGCACTATATTTTCTGTATACACAAGACAACAGAAGGTCAGCACTAACCTACAAACAATATATGAACAGGCAGCAAGCATAGCAAAGGGGACCCCCCTTTGCCCTTCTGTATTATATTTTCAGTATGAATTATTTTCTAAACACTACATAATAATCTGAGGCATCTTTCAATATTTTAGGTGAGACTTTGTTTAGCAGTGAACTCTGCCTGCCCCCCACTGATTCCTTATGTGTGTTCTTTGTTTCCAACAGATGCTACGCTGTATAGATCTTGATGACAGATTAAAGGCAATGGATCAAGAAATCACCGTGAACCCTCAATTTGTTCAGAAGGTACTTTGATCTTATACTGTCTGCTATTTAAATATTTATTTCTGAGCAATGCGTGTTAAGAGATTCCACGTGTACCAGAGTTCTCTTAATGTCTTACTGGAAAATAGTTACATTTTCCTGATTTTTAGTAATTCTGCCAGCTCCAGCTAATTTGAAGTAGGTACTTAAAAAAATAAAAAATACAACTTTGTGTAATCGTTAGACCAGTGTTTATTTTTAATTTATTTTAATTATTGTCTTAGTTGGAATTTACTGTGTTTTATTAATTGATGTCTTGTTTTCCAGAGCATGGGCTCTCAGGATGACGACTCAGGAAGCAAACCATCTAGTTACTCGTGAAGGGAAGATCTCACTGCACGTCCTCTCTCTACAGTGGATTATCACCTGCAACAACTTCAGAATTCAGCATCAAATGTCTTGAAATAAAAGAGCAGAGAGAATTAAGACCTGCCTGGACATTTAACTAAAAATGGAAAGCAAATATTTATGATGTTTTTCTCTCCGTTCTGTATGCGCTCACAGTTTAAGGAAAGGAAAACAATAAAGTCTGTTGTGAATTTATAACCAGAAACCTTGCTTCTACTTAAAGCCATGGGCTGCAATGCAGTCTTCACTTGTTTTCCAAAATCTATTTATGTAATGGAAAAGTTTTTTTTTTTTTTAATATTTTAAAGTGGATCTGTATACTAAACATTACCTTAATATCAGGTTTAAAATAATTTAAATGGGAATTGTCGCTTCGCATGATTTTTAAAGTTTACTTTATATATTTAATGAATATGTGAGAAAATTAAATGTAGAAATCTACACCTCTGAAACGGGGCTCCTCCATCTTGGATTGCTGTCAATCAATATTCTAAGCCCTGCCCACTGCACCTGTCAATCAGCTTTTGCTGTACTTTGGATTGAACTGGATTGTGATGTCCATTTCAAAACATTTAATCTCAATTTAAAAAGTGTCACTATTCTCAAATTAACATATACACTGATCAGCCACAACATTAAAACCATCTGTCTAATATTGTGCTGGCCCCCCTCATGCTGTCAAAACACCTTTGATACATCGAGGTAAGGATTCCACAAGATTTTTGAATGTGTCCTTTAAATGGCACCAAGAGGTTGGACCTCCATAGACTGAATTTGTAGTTCCAGCACATCCCACAAATGCTCACTTGGATTGAGATCTGGGGAATTTAGAAGCCAATGCCACCCTTAGAACTCTTCGTATTGTTCCTCAAACCATTCATGCACAAATGTTTGCAGTGTCAGGGTGCTTTTTCCAGCTGAAAGAGGCCTCTTGCATTAGGGAACACAAGGGGTGTACGTGGGCTGCAACAATTCTAGGTAGGTGGTACGTGTCAAAGGAGCATTCATATTAATTCCAGGAGGACCCAGGGTTTCCCAGCAGAACATTGCCCAGAGCATAATTCCACCAGCCTGCCTTCTTCCCATAGTGCATCCTGCTGCCATCTCTTCCACAGGTCAACGACACACCCGGGCCATCCATCTGAGCTAAATGAAAATGTGATTCATCAGACCAGGCAACGGTTTTCAATTGCTCCATGGCCCAGGTCTGCCACTTACGTCACCACTGAAGACCCTTTTTTTGTGGTGGACAAAGGTCATCATGGGCACTCTGACTGGTCTGAGGCTGTGCGTCAAATTGCGATGCATTGTGTGTTCTGACACCTTTCCATCATGACCAGCATTAAGTTTTTCAGCAATTTGAGCTACAGTATCTCTTCTGTTTGATCTGACCAGACATGATAGCCTTCACTCCCCACGTACATCAATGATCCTTGGGTGCCCATGATCCTTCGTCGGCTGTCCTTTCTTGCACCACTTTTGTTAGGTATTAATCACTGTAAGCTGGGAACAACCTACAAGACTTGCCATTTTGGAGATGCTCTAGCTACCACTATTTGGCTCTTGTCAAAGTCACTCAGATCTTTTCGCTTGACAATTTTTTTTCCTGCTTCCAACACATGAAATTCAAGAAGAGACTGTTCACTTGCTCCTAATATATCCCACCCCTTGACAGGTATCATTGTAACGATATATTCAATGTTATTCACTTCATTTGTCAGTGGTTTTGATGTGGCTGAATGGTGTACGATATTACCTTCCATCAAGGTTTTTCTTATAAGAGTAGTTTCTGCTTCATTTAATGCTTCTCGTGGGCATTCTTCATCTTCCGATATGTTTTTCTAAACAAACGTAGGTTTGTGTTCCGTCAAATGTGCTGAATCTAGCAACCTTAGCTGGGTTATCTACTAAACAGTGATTTCTCACCCCCCCAGGTGGGAAGTGGAGTGGTTCTTTAACAGAGGTTGCTTCACATTTTGTCAAGTGGAGGGAAAAATACTTAATACAAAGTCTCTATATTTTCTTATTATTAAAGTTTGACTGTGCTGGAATTACAGTGACATTTCCAGTCATTGGGAGCAAATAAATATTGAATTGAGATACACCAGACCCCCACATAATGTGTAGGTTAGGTTACTGGCACACGTTCCAAATAGACATAGGGGACATTTTAATTTTAGGGGTGACTGTGGTGTGGCCAGAGGCAGGGCTGTTTTGAGAAATTTTAGGGGACTTTGTATTAAAAATTGATAAAGAACAAAACAAGAACAAGGTATCTTATTTACAAAGGCTGATTTCTAAACACATTTTCAGGGTTATTTACCAACGTGAGAATTTTAAGTTGAGTTTGACATTTAAAGGCAAAATAGCTGAACTAAATATCTCTAATAACGTACCTTTTTTGGGGAGCTATTGGTTGGATTAGCAGGGGTGGGGAACCTTCAGCCCTCCAGATGTTTTGGACTACATCTCCCATAATTCTCTTACAGCCATTATGCTAGCAAAGCATCAAGGGAGATGTAGTCGACAACATTTGGAGGGCTGAAGGTTCACAACTCGCATTAGCAGACTGTTCTAGCCAAATAGCGCGCCCATGCCAGGTAGCACTATGCGCCTCCTAAAACACAAATTCACTGTGAATTCACATGGAATTCTGACTTTAGTACCAGTTATTTTGGTATAAAAACCACATTAATCCGATCTCAATTATGTGTCTGTTAGTCCACCCATTGTACAGCGCTACGGAATTGCTTTATAAATAATAAAATAATAATAATTAATGGTAGCTTTATTGCTGTGGGCCTGTTATACATTCAGACACACCAGCTACAAGGAGCACCTACAAAGGAGGGACAGCAGGATTTGGGCCCAGATTAGAGACTGTCCCTCCTAAACAGGGCCAGTTGGTAGCTATGCTTTGAGAATGAGTTATCTGCCCTCTCATGCAGGTCACACTCACAGCACATGTGATGGATCACATGCAAAGTCAGCTGACTCAGCCTGGCCTCTGTTTATAAACAGGCGGGTTAAACCATTTCCGCATCTTCTAAGGGGTGCCCGAAATGCACAATCCTTTTAATCCTCCATTCTTTTTCTCTTGCTCTGCACGTCAGCTATCTCTACAAACATGGCTAAGGCCCCACAATTACACAGGACTCTGTGTGTAAACGGAGCTGGGTCTTTGCTTGTGGAGCCCCCCCCCCCCCATTCTATCTTCGCACTTGGTATGTCCCTCGGAGCCGGAAGTCAGCTCTTATCACGTGATGTAAACATGGCGAGCTGACAGGTGAGCCCTCAGTGGGAGCTGGGAGCTGCGGGCAGGCAGGGGTTAATGAGATGGGCTGGCCGTGCAGTTATGGCGAGATGTACTAATATTAGTGTCCAGGGTGCGATATTGAGGGTGTCTGGTGTCACAGTAATCCCCACCATAGGGATTTACCATAGCCCAGGGGTTTATTAACTAAGCAACGAACTGCGGCCAGTGCGAATGGCGAAACTCGCTGTATCATAGCCGCTTGGTGACTATCGCTGAGAACGTTTCCAGATCACCGGCGTCATGTTAAAGGGACACTATAGTCACCGGAACCACTGCAGCTTAATGTGGGTTTTCTGGTGTCTATAGCCCGTCCCTGCAGGCATTTTAACGTAAACACAGCCTTTATAGGGAAACGGCAGTGTTTACATTACAGCCTAGGAACACCTCTAGTGGCAGTCATTGAGACGGCCTCTAGACGTGCTTCCTGGGTCGGTGCTGCACAGTGCGCAGTACTGGCATTCAGCGTCTCCACGCTGTGTATGGAGATGCTGAATGCACCCCATAGAGATGGATTGATTCAATACATCTCTATGAGGAGGTGCCGATAGGCGCAATACATCATTTTGCTGTGCATGTGCAATCGCTTCCTATGGAAAAGCATTGTAATAGCTAAGATTATCAAGGCTGATAATCTCGAGGCAGGGGAGAAAATTTAATTTTAATACCCTTTGCCCTTTGATCTGTGGTGGGTCAAGGAATAGATAGTCAACGCTATAGTGTTCCTTTAAATGTTGCTATTTAGATTTTGTTAAAATGTTGAATTTGCTGAACAATCCTGCACAGACATGGATAATGTAACCATTTGGGCTAAAATGTTACATTCTTGATAAGTCACAGTTTACAGGGTTACTCACTAAAGTGTGAATTTTAATGTTGAGGTTTGAATGTAAGTATTGTTATTTTTGCATTTTAGTACCTATCTTCCCAGAAGAATTTTGTACATGTAGTGTACCTGTGCTCATCTGACTGCCAAGATGAATGCTATTGTGGCTCTGTGCCACTTCTGTGAGCTGCATGGACCACGCACCTTGTTTTGCACAGAAGCACTGCACTCCCCACTTCCCCAGGGGGCCGGCTGTGGAGATAGCCTGGGGCAGGGGGAAGCAGCAGAGGAAGAGGAGATGGGAATCCAGATGAGCAGCAGGATTCGGTCACACAGCCCCGCAGAGGGGGCAAGTGCAGAATCCAATAGCCCCAGACTCAAGAAATCGGATATGTGTGAGGTAATTTCTGTACATCTGGAAAATATCACACATCGTTATTTACTAAAATGTGAATTGTACGAAATCCAACGTTGAGGCTAAAATAGTGAATTGGAAAAGTTACTCAAGTCAGCCGTGTTTCCAGTTCTTTTTCTCTGCCTTAAACCTGAATTTCACTCTGAATTCCCAACAGTTCACGCTTTAGTGAATTAGCCATAATTAGCCTGTAAGTAAATAAAACAGGAAATATGAACCCATTGCCTTGTAACCAACATCTGTCTTTTGGGGTCTTTTAGGGTTGTCGGTCTCTGGCTGCAGGTCATCCTGGGTATATTAGCCATGACAAGGAGACATCCATCAAATATGTCAGCCATCAGCACCCAAACCACCCACAGTTATTCAGTATTGTCCGCCAGGCCTGTGTTCGCAGTTTGAGTTGTGAGGTAAGGAAACGGCATGTATTAATAATGGATTCAGTGACTGCATGAACGTTCTACAGTTCTTATTAATTTGTTGCCACCATAAATCTATTGGGAGAAGTGAAAGTAGATCTGTTAAAATACACCCATCACCATCACCACCAAATAAATTAGTATTTCATAAGGATAAAACAATGACTTTGTTAAAATTTTACTGAAATAGTAGGTACTACTCTGTCTTATGTACATTCACTCAGCTTGACAAAACATGGAGCAATCGCTGTCAAGTTTTGTCATTTCCCTCAGTCATTGCTAGGGATGGCTGTGAGAAAAAGGCATTGTCTATGGAGACTCTCAGGGGTCCTCTACACTGTTGCGCATGCTCGAGAGTACAGCACTGACATGAGCTCCTGGCAGGTGAAGCTCCAGAGTTGAAGAGGCTACCACGGATGGTCAAGGGGGCAGCCGCTACTGACCGCTTCAGGCAAATAAGACCTACGTTTCCTTGCACCTCGCAGCCACCACACACCAACTAGCTTAGTCACCAAAATATGCAAAGACCCCAGAAGGTGACAGAGCAGCTTGAAGTACTCTAATTTTTTTTAGATAAAGTGGGACAGCCACTTGCGAGGTCTCTCCATTTTTTGTGAACTAACCCCCCAGGTAACATGTAAACTCAAAGTAGGAGAATAGAGGAAATATACGGGTATTCTTGCTCAAACTTTGCTGGAAATAAATCTGTATTCTTGTTTTACTTTATCTGCGTATCTGTGAATTGTGATTTAAAAAAAAAAAAAAAAGACCATTCAAATTTCTCTCTTCCTGCTAGGTCTGCCCGGGTAGGGAGGGTCCCATCTTTTTTGGCGATGAACAACATGGTTTTGTGTTTAGCCACACGTTCTTCATTAAAGACAGCCTGGCCCGAGGCTTCCAGCGCTGGTACAGCATTATTGTCATCATGATGGACAGAATTTATCTAATCAACTCCTGGCCGTTCCTCTTGGCTAAGATCAGAGGAATCATAGACGAGCTGCAAGGAAAAGCATTCAAAGTGAGTAGCTCACAGCTGGATTGGGATATGCAGGAAGAGATTTAGAGAATTATTTTAGATGATAATGTTATAATCTGGATGCAAAGCTTGTTAGATGGAGCTTATTACCCAATTAGGCAACATCTACAAATATAAAAAAAACAAAAAAAACACTTCCATTACTCTTAACCAAACAGTTGCTGATTTAATGAATGATGGGAGTTGTATCCAGGGATCAAAGTAGAGCCTTCTTAATGGGCAGAGGAAACTTACTATCACCTTAAAGAGACTCATATTTTAGATGCAGTGTGTAGGTTAGAGCACAGTTCGTTATGCTTATTTATTTTGTAATCTTCTTTATCTACATTTAGTTTTGCTCCATTGACCCATTTCTTCTACTCCCTCACAACCTTTAGTGTTTCTCCTTTTGCACCAAAAATGTTGGTGTGCGTGATATTTTGATTTGGATTGCAGGGGGTTGTGGTTAAACTGTCATATTTCTTCAGTGGAAAGGTGACATTTAAACTACAGCTCACAGAATTCCTTATTTATAAATCACTGCTTGTTGAATAAGTTCATCAGTGATTCAGAAAGCTAACTGAACATTGTGATTGGTCGAGTCGCTTCCTGGTCTGGGCAGAGCTCACTGTTGAATATATATAATGCATTAAAAGGAAATGGGTGAACTCTAGCAGGACTTGTTCCTTTCAATGCTAGTGACTTTAATGAAATAGTTTTCCTAATTGGAGTTGAATTAATGGCAGCTTTGGTTGCAGTCATTGTCAGTTTGTGGCACAGGTGACCCGGTATGCTGATACACTTACTTTGTTATTTACATTTTGTATAAAATATATATTGCAGTATATACAGCTTTTCCTACATTTTATTTAAAAGAACACTATAGTGTTAGGGATATAAAACTGTATTCCCAATTCTATAGTGTCCCTCTGTCTTCCTCTCATGAAAGGGTTAAAAACCCTTTCTTTAACTTATCTGATTCCCGGCGCTGGTTTAGTCTCCTCCTACTGTCACAGCGATGAGGAAACCTAAAGCGCTTGAGGACGTCCAGCGTCACTTCACACAGTTAAACCCCATGTAAACCAAGGAAGCACATCTAGTGGCTGTTTGGAAGATAGCTACTTGAGGCAGTCTTAACCCTGCATTGTAAACATTGCAGTTTCCTTCAAAGTGCAATATTTTTACATGCAGGGTTAAGAGGACACGGACACTGTACCCAGACCACTTCAATGAGATTAAGTGATGTTGGTGTCTATAGTGTCCCTTTTTAACAATACAAGAAAAGGTTGTAGGTTTTGAAGTATAAATACTTATTTACTAATAGAAAAGGCATGATATGATGTTTACTTTTTTTTTTTTTCTTTTGCCAGAGAAGACCAACGTTTACCTTACAATTACAGTTTGTACGCTGGCCAAGCATTATGAAATATCTGTTAACTTTGTTTAACACTGAAACCGAACTAGTAATTCTGAGAAGTAGCCGTGTGTTTTTTTTTTTGTTTGTTTGTTTTTTATAGATTATACTATTGTGGTATTGAAAATCGGGACGAATTCTTAAAACCTCCTCCTCTCACCCAGCACAGGAGGATGCTGGGAACTAGATAGCTTAGATATTGAAATCTAAGATTCATACTGTCTGTTGCGAGCACATGTTCACAGTAGCCATTTTTAAAATGATAAATTTTCACTGAGGGTTTAAACTTTATGATGCAATTCCAAAACAGATGTTTTTCTCTATCAGGTGTTTGATGCTGAGCAGTTTGGATGCCCCCAGCGACCCCTGCGGATAAACACAGCATTTACTCCATATCTGCATAAACGAAATGGAAACGCTGCCCGTTCCTTGACCTCTCTCACCAATGATGACAATTTATGGGCCTGCCTCCATATCTCCTTTGCATGGTAACAGGAAGCATACTGGGTTGTAACTTGCTATAAAACGTATATCGAGCTTGTATAAGCACTCTCATAACCATTTCAAAAGGATTGTGAACAACATTGAAGGGGGTTTCCATGACCGCAAATTAGTAGGTGAAACAGTTACTCGACTTTAAACAAGATTTAGACATTGACATTGAGTCAGTACAGTTATTTATGTAGAGCATCAAAAAACCTGTGTTTGATATTTTAACGTGGAAATTATTTTGGGATGAAGACATTCTACATTATAATTTGGTAAATTAAAAAATGCAAACACCCCCTCTTTCCTCTGCAAAGTAAAATAATGGACGCTAATTGGCTCAGTTCTCGGGGACCTCAGGTTCTGATTGGCCGATGGAATCACATGCTGTCTGCATCATTCATTTTTTTTTTTTTTTATTAAATCTTAACTATTGGTTTAAAAAGCTTGATGCAATTCTAAGATGGCAGCTCCGCCTTATAAAAATCAGATAATTCCTGGGGTAAATATGTCCAAATTCACTGTAGCTGAGTCTGTGCTATGTTATGTTTAATTGGGAATTGTGTCTGAAGCTCATGTGTGTAAAGTATATTTAAGGTGACAAAATGTAAAAGCATCTAGCAAAGACTGATTGTTATTTCTTGGATACGAGCCTCAGTAAAATAGGGTGAAATTCCATATAAGAATATGTTATTTTCGTTTCCATGGTGATTGGTCTAATTGTAGAAGTTTAGTTCACCTTTAGAACACTTTTTATAAATATTTCAATTGAATTGTAAGTATCTTGTGAATCTTTAATATGATTTTGTAGATTTTTGAAAGTATTGTCTATACATACACAAGTAAATGGATGTTTTATTTGCTATTCAGTAAAAAATTGAGCTGCCATTTGTATCTTTATTGAAGGCTGCTAAAGGCTTGTGGTTGCCGTCTGACAGAGAAGCTGCTGGAGGGAGCTCCTACTGAGGACACCTTGGTACAGATGGAAAAGCAAGCAGGTTGGTGTAAATAGGGAATTTGTTTTGGCCACTCTCACAAGCCTTATCCAGTGAATTCTCCACCAAGTAAGAATAAATAGGAGTCGTGTGTCGCTGTTGACCAGTGGAGAGTTTAGGTCAAGCACGCTTTCAAAAACCTGCTTTATAAGATCCGTTACCAGGGATAAGGCACAAATCTTCTATATTTAAAATGAAGTACTCAAAATATTAGGTGCAAATTTTATAAATAAATCTGATGTCCTCTTTTAGTGTGAGTCCTGAAGATAAGTTTTCAGCATTTGATGTTTTGGAACCCGTCATCAAATATATAGACACTTAGATGCATTAGTGTTTTAGTAGCACGTTCTTGTGTATAGCACAGCAAGAACAAAGTGTAAATGGATTTTGCAAGTTAAAGGGACAACACAGTCACCAAAGCTGCTACTATGTGTGTTCTACAGCATTTTGCAACTAACATCAACACAACAAAAGTGACCTCCCTATGATATAACCCCAAACCCTCTGTCTCTGAGAGCCCTTCGCTTGTGTTAAATATGATTCTGGAGCATGAATAGGACGTGTTCATATGTGCGCAGTACAACCTTGTTCATTTGTGTGACATTATACAAATCGGTTGGAGGAGCAGGATTAGTTGTTATGTAATGTTTATATGTTTCATTTCACAATTAATAAATTCATTATTGAAATTCCCAATTAAACCAAAATTATAATCCATAATAGTGGTTGCATTTGAATTAATAAACTATTATATCCCCAAAATAATATGGTTACTTTTAATGTGCAGAATTGTATAAAAAGATGTTCCGCAAAAGGTTTCTCTGATGCACTTCGTAGAAGATGGCGTTCTATGTTAACATTCGCTGCGGTTATTCTTTTTATCTATTCTCTTAAGGTAACTGGGATCCCCTAATCTGAGAGACATTATTTTCCTTATGGTATTTGTATGATCAACGACAATTCTTGCTCCCTGTTTGCAGATTTAGAGGAGGAGTGTGCAGCCTGGGAGGGACAGGATGGAGAAGCGGGTAGTCTCAGGCCTCAGCCCAACGTGTTGGAGGTCCGCGCCAATGAGACGTCTAAGTTATTGGAATGCCGGCTGCCCGTGATATTCCGATCTCTCAGGCACATGAGGCAGGTACGACCCAGAACAATCTGACTGCATGTAACAGTCCTGTAATACTTTGTGGCAATGTCTGTGCATACACGGGTTTAATTAACACTGTCTAATAATGTTCAGGATCGCTTGGGTTTCACCAGTTCTGAAATGATTTTGGAATGCCATAACTTATCTGCGAGCTAAACGTTCCCTCGGGACCGTTACCCTGGGTGACAGTGCAGAACTCAATTATAGATGTCCTTTTCTTATCAATGTCATATTTAATATTTATACATGTAAGTAATAGCGTAAGCTGGTGATCTGTGTGTTTCCAGTTTCAAAATGACCCTAGTTTTTAATACATTTTAAAGATATTGTATTAAAAGAATTCTTACAATATAAAAAAGATACTCATGGCTGCTGGTTATCTTTGTGAGAGCAACCGTAAGAGTCTCCTTCAATCAATAGCCTTCCAGTCTGGGATATACAGAGATACTTATTCCAGAAAGAGTTTTTGGGATGTGTAATTCCAGTTCCATTTCACAATGTTTACACTGGAGCTGCTGAATAAAGTGTTAGCAGGGTTTGTGCGGCTGCTATCAGCTTAATGTCAGCTTCATGTACACTTGAGGGAAGGGAGTTGTAGATGGCATTTGTCCAAGCAGCTTACCCTGCATTAGTGCAGCTGTTGCCAGTGAACCCGCACAGAGCCCCCTCGTAGAGGAGGAGGAAGTATTGGATATTTTACCGATCATTGCAGCTATGTACAGGGAGTCTGGGAGAGGTGGTAACCTGTGCAAGGAGCTTGATAGTATTTTGTCAGCCCATATTACTATATTTCTATGGGGAGCATAAGGTTTTCTGGTGCCTGGAGTGTCCCTTTAAATTAAACTTATCGTGAGAATGAGCCTGTGATATATAATTTCGTTTCACTCTATATTGAGTTTTATTTTATTTTTTGCTTGTTTGATTCAAAGCTTTGTTGTAAAATTTAAACCGAAAAGAGTTTTCCAAGTTTTGTCAGTTTCTAGGACTTTCTGAATTTCTACATATCTTGTTCTTTCTCAGGTGCTGGGCGCTGCTTACTTCAGGGTGTTAGCCTGGCACATTCTGATGGGTAATCAAGTCATCTGGAAGGGGCAGGACCGCGATCTGATTCAGTCTGCGTTTGATGTTCTGCGGGTAAGTAACCCTGCATTCCTTCACCAGGATTAATGAATGAAAATTGAGGCAGTCCTTTACTAAGCTCCATCAGTTTGAGAATTCCTGAGATCTAGGAAAAATACTCTTCTAGAAGTGATGGAGGGCCTTCTTTCCCCCTATAGTGGTTCTTTAAATCCAGTGTATTATATAGTGCTGCCTTGGTAGGTTTTACATATCCTTTTGTTATTTTTATGTTACTAATATTGCACCTAGTAAGTTGTGCCCACCTCATGCGATCTGCATACTAAAAAAAGGAAATCCAATATGTGTAGAAGTCAAAGAATGTTTTTTTTTTTTTTAAAACAATCGGGTACATTTAAAAATATTGAACGTTGCGGGGGCCGGGCATGACACCCACCATGGCCGGACGCAGTTCTCTGTAGCTCTGGCTCTCTAGCTTGAAAACTGTGGCTAAATCGTCCTAAAGCGACGCAGAAACCTTCTTGGTCCCACTGCAGACCGACACTCTAGCTCCAAGAGCCGTTCTAAGCCCGAAGTGTAACCGTCTGACAAGCACTTACCATGTATGCAGGCTGCGGCCTAGCGTGCCCGGTAATCGGATGAAGCGGCCGATCACCCGACCTGGTGAGCACACCTGGCGGTAGCCTTTCTACAGCCCCGTCACCCCCTCCCCCTCTGGACCAGTGTGGGTTATCCCGGTCCCCACTGGAAAGTGGACTCTCACGATTATTGCAGCACCTGCACCCAATTGCACAGAGTTCCATGCGGTCAAGATGGCGGACGACTCCACTTCTTGTGACACGCAAGGTACTCACACTGAACAGTCACCTTATGAGTCTGCTGCACTACCCATGTGGCGACCGGCTGAAATATTCACTTGCTCTTGGGAATTTCGGGTGGCAAAGCAAGCAGAGTTGCTGCCTCAGGCTGAAGGGGAGGAACACGGGTGCGGAATGGGCTCCCTCTGGGCACTCAACTGCTTCCAGCACAGAGACACGAAGCCACAAGCCCACCCGGCCGAGGGCCACTAGGGGTGAGACCACACAGACAGGAGGCCAGCCGCTATCAACGATGACATCCCAGCAGGGCCTTCTGCCTCTCCGGATTGGAGAAGGACTTGGACTCTTCGAGCCCCCAAGTCAGTGTCTCCCAGATGCAGGCCTCTACACCGACCTGGGGCAGGAGGGAGACCCTTCTCTGCACTCCTCGTGCTGCCTTCCTTCAACCCAGCAGCAGATCTACCCTCTGCCTTCCAAGCTCAGGCATCGGCTGAAAAGCTGCAGAAAATCAGCTTATATTCTAGGACTATCTCACGACCGGGCGACGCCATTAGGATACCTGTGGCAAATCCAGCCGACCCAAGACTGATTATAGGCTCTTTTCTATTGTTTATATGTTGCTGCCATGCATCCATGAGTCACTTACTTTACCCAGAGGAACGGTGTCAGCTTGCTGTGCATCCAGTGGTTCTTACCTCTACTACTCTCTTGCTTATTCTCTTATCTTCCTACTTAATGAATTCATTGAGTGAGCTCACTTAGCATGTTCAAGCTTGTTTAAAAGATAAAATTGTGCATATGTTCTCAACTAACCCATATGTAAAGCGTGATAATTCGCCTGAGGATTACCTTTGGGGTACCTCAAGCTTGTTTGTACTATTCTTCTGCACTGCAAAAATACAAAATAAAAATATCGAACATTGCAAATTCTTCAAATAACAATGTTAATTAAGAAATAGGACTTCCTTCTTATAATCATTATTGTGGTGACTGCTTTAAAAATCCCTCCAATGTGGTTTGCTTTTAACCAATGGTAGATATTCTTATGCTTTTCCTCAGACCATGCTCCCGGTGGGCTGTGTCCGCGTGATTCCGTACAGCGAGAAATACGAAGATGCGTATCGGTGCAACTTCCTTGGGTTGAGTCCTCAAGCTGAAATCCCCCCTCATGTGCAAACATCTGGTGAGTGTCAAACACCTTCATTACTTTAGACTCCTTTAGACTGCAAGCACGCTACCTCTCAGGGGCGTACCTAGAGCACTTGGCACCCGGGACGGACCCTGTGTTTGGCAGCCCCCCCTTAAAAATGGGGGGGAAAAAATGTTTTTAAATTTTTTTCAAGAATATTTATTGCACATACAAATTGTGCACCCCCCACACATACAATCCCTGCACCCACCCTACACATCAAATTCATACCCCCTTCATTTAAAAACCTTGCACCCCAACACATAATGTTCATACACCCCCTACACATAAAAATCCTGCACCCCCCTTACACATAAAGTTCATACACCCACCCTCCAGATAAAAACTTGCACCCCCCTTAATAAAAAAACCGCGCACCCCCTAATAAAAACAAACAAATCTGCACACCCCCTAATAAAAACAAACAGCATCTCCTCATAGCGATGAATTGAATCAATGAATCTCTGTGAGGAAAGTTCAGTGTCTGCATGCAGACTGAGGAGACACTAAATGTTTTTGCATTTTAGGCAGCCATGACCCAGGAAGGATCTCTAACAGCTATCTGAGGAGTGGCCAGTGAAGTTATCACTAGGCTGTAATGTAAACACTGCATTTTCTCTGTAAAGACAGTGTTTACAGCAAAAAGCCTGCAGGTAATGATTCTACTCACCAGAACAAATTCAATAACCTGTAGTTGTTCTGTTGACTATAGTGTCCCTTTAATAATAAAAAAAACAACAAAAAAAACCCTGCACACCCCCCCTTAATAAAAAAACAAAAACCCTGCACACCCAAGTTAATAAAAAAAAAAAACCTGCACACACCCCCTTAATAATAAAAAAAAAAACTCTGCACACCCCTTAATTAAAAAAAACAAAAAAACTTCACATAAAATTCTATTGTCTATACCTGGCTGCCAGCGGACCTGACGCAGATATACAAGCTAAACTTTCTCCCTCTCCTCTCCGCAATCCAACAAGACCTTCAGCGGTGGACGCAGCGATACGTATCCTGGTTTGGCCGTATTGGTGCGGTCAAAATGAACATTCTCCCCAGGCTGTTATATCTCTTTGCGGCACTACCCACCAGGATCCCCCAGACGTTCTTCAACTCGGTGACAACAGCTATCCGTAGGTTTGTGTGGAACAACAGGCAGCCGCGCATCCGTAGGTCGATCCTGGAGAGACCGAAGGCGGCCGGGGGGATGGGGCTACCGTCAGTGATCTCATACTATAGAGCCACACACCTCCATAGGGTAGTAGACTGGCATGCGCGGCCAAGTACCAAACGATGGGTATCCATGGAACTGCAACAGACTCGGGGCACTGTCCCGTCGCAGCTCTGGCTGGGTGGGTATACCTACACAGACCTGCACACAAAAAACCCGGTGATAGACGCAACTCTCAAGGTGTGGTGCGGACTAAGATATGCCTACCAACTCACCACCTCCCCAAACCCGCTTACGCCTATTACTCACAACCCGAGGGTTGCGGGTGGCCTTCACCCGGTTGCTTTACGCAATTTCCAAAGAACAGATTGGTTCTATGTACGCCAGTGGAGTCCGGGGGGAACGCTGCAATCGCTGGGGGACTTATTGCCAGACAGGCAACCTACTGTTCTCGACAAATTCCACTATCACCAGGTTAGGTCCTACTATACCAAAATCCCGGGGAGAACTCAACTCCACCGTACACTTACGGAATTTGAACGCCTGTGCACAGACAGACGACATTTAACCCATGGGGTGTCACACTTATATGCTCTGCTCCAGCAGTCAGGGGATAGTTGCCCACTAGGCTTCACGAGCAGATGGGAGGAGGAGACGGGTACACAGCTGACGGACCAAGAATGGGACAAAATATTCCTCCTCACACATAAATGTTCAATTAGCTCGAAATTCCAGGAAACCAGCTACAAACTGTTAACACGATGGTACAGAACACCAGACACACTGAGGCACATACAGGGGACGGACACAGGCGATTGTTGGAGATGCGGATTAGAAAGGGGCACCAACCTACACATCTGGTGGTCATGCCCTAGTATCAAACCATACTGGCAAATGATCAAGGCAAAGATCAAGGAGATCACAGGGGACGACATCCCCCTACAGCCGCTGCCAATGCTTCTACACCATACACCCACCCCAACGCAGGCATACAAAAAGTCACTGACAATACACCTATTGAACGCAGCAAAGGCCCTCATTCCCCTGCACTGGAAAGGTCCATCAGTTCCCACACTTAGACAATGGATAGACAAGGTGGAGACCATCTACGACATGGAGATCCTGACGGCCTCTATGCGAGAGCGCGCAGATAAGTGCGCCCTGACGTGGTATCCTTGGAGGCAGTATACCTCGAGAGACGGGGCATGAGTTGCGGGGCTGCGGAACCGACCTGAGGGGGGAGGTGTGTGGGGAGTGTGCTCTTTTCTTTTTTTTTTTTCTCTCTCTTCTCTTCTTCTTCTTTCTCTCTTTCCCTCCCTTTGTGTGTACTATCTCTCAACTTATACCCAGCACGGAGACCCTGAAGCAGACTGGCTTAGTCTGGAACATGCCCCGACGGACGCACTACCCCACAGTTCATGGACGACATACAGGACACGGACAGGCCATACTGACACAGCCGAAAAGGGGGGTCACCCTCCTAGACATAACGGCTTGGGTGGAGGCGACAGGTATAAGGCTGACCTCACAATCCTAGTGAGTAATTAGTTTGACTCCCCTTCTCTGAGGGGGAAGATTTAGAGCGCAACACGCCGAAACATGACTGACCACCTATAAGAGTTGACACTTAAACATTCTACATGCACCTCGGGGTGCACATGGGGACGCAGGGTTAAACAAAACACAGCAATCACTTGTCGGGTTGACCGAAGGTTGACTGACCTTCATATTACCCAAGCCGCAGGCATGGATTCGTATGTAGACAACCTCCAGATTTCGATTGTAGAAAATATTAGCATTGTTCTGTTACTTGTTTATATATGTCTTGTACCATTTACCGACAGACCCTAAGCCGCGGGCATGGGTTCGTATGTAGACAACCTCCAGATTTTGAGAGTAGAAAATATGAGCATTGTTTCTGTTACTTGTTTTTTATATGTCTTGTACCATTTACCGTTTTACTTACCGTATGCCTACGGAATATTTGAAAAAATTACCTTCAATAAAAATGATTGACACAAAAAAAATTCTATTGTCTAATCACATTTGATGATGCCTCTTCGCTGATCTGCTCTTCTCCCAGCCTCCGACCACTGGTGCCTCACAGGATGATGGATCTTTCCGCTCCATGAAGGTGGACAGGTGGCAGCGGCGCACGTCTGCGTCACGCTGTGCGATGCCGCAAAACTCCTCCCCCTGCTCCTCCATATTGCTGCAGTCAGTGCACCCCCCTAGTGAGTGGCACTGGGGATGGGCTGACCCCTTAGTACACCACTGCTACCTCTTCTCTGTGTCAGTAAAGACTAAGCTGTTAAATTGACTTTTATGCCACATTCTACAGTGCAGCATCATTGTTATTAACTAAAATTTCTAGGACCCAGTTAATGTTACACTGCCTGCAGCCTGCGCTAGTTATATTTGTATATAATGTATGCTTGACAACACCTTCCTTATTCTAGGCTTGGCAAGTGTCAGAATAATCAATAATCATCTATTTTATTGTATTAAACAGAATTCACTGTCATGGTGGATGTTCGCAGTGCTCCACGCTCCAACTTATACCCAGTCTTGTATGCGGGCAATGAGCCGCTCAGCAGGTATGACTTTGTGGTTTCCAGTGGGAGCCCGGTCGCTACAGACAGGGGTAAGTATCCTTGGCCTAGAAAACTAAGAAGTGCTAATGTGCAATCAGTTCATTCTTTGTAGAATTTCCACGTACTTTGTACATGTACCAAGAACTGCGGGACTGCTCCGATGTAGATACTGAATGATAAATTGGCTCAAATAAACACATGTTCTTTTGCAATTTGGCTGATATACATTGATTTGTTGTGAAATGAAAAGTGAATTTGCAAGATTTTGGATAAAATTGGAAAAAGCCCTTGGTTTCCTTTCATTTTCTCTCAATACACCACAATCTTCACATTGCAATTTTACAAAAAATAAAAAAATTTAATAGTCTCATATGGCACTCTGAATTAATTTGGTACAAATGTTGTAACTCTAAAAAATATTGTAACTTGTTTTCTGGTTTAAACTGTTTATTTTTTACTGTCAGTTGGACTCACCATTCTGAACAAGATTGAGGCAGCTTTGAATAACGAAAACCTTTCAGTGGATGTGGTGGATCAGTGCTTGGTCTGCTTGAAGGAGGAGTGGATGAAGTAAGTACTCTATAACCCTCTGTGATTTATGCTAATGTTGTTTTACTATGTATGGGTACGCTGGAGTCGTTACACAGTAATGGTAGCAGACCACAGTTAGAACAGTGACAGAATATTAGGGTTTGAGGTATCCGGAGTACCATGTCACTGGGGAGATCTGCACGCCTCCAATCAATCGGTACAGCAGGAGATCTGTGCTTACAGATGCCGATTATCTATATCATTTGGGTCCCCTTATTAGAGAGGGCGACATGATATGACATCATAACTAGACGTGCAGAAATTTTGTTTTAAAGCGATTTACCTGAATAAAGTGTGTGGTACTCCTCAAACCAATCGGATGGAATATTGTTTTACCTGTGGAGTCTACAGGTAAGATTGATTTGTAATCGAATTCCTCTGAAATCAATTAAAGGATACTATAGTCACCTGAACAACTTTAGCTTAATGAAGCAGTTATGGTGTATAGAACATGCCCCTGCAGTCTCACTGTTCAATCCTCTCCCATTTAGGAGTTAAATCCCTTTGTTTATGAACCCTAGTCACACCTCCCTGCATGTGACTTGCACAGCCTTCCATAAACACTTCCTGTAAAGAGAGCCCTATTTAGGCTTTCTTTATTGCAAGTTCTGTTTAATTAAGATTTTCTTATCCCCTGCTATGTTAATAGCTTGCTAGACCCTGCAAGAGCCTCCTGTATGTGATTAAAGTTCAATTTAGAGATTGAGATACAATTATTTAAGGTAAATTACATTTGTTTGAAAGTGAAACCAGTTTGTTTTTTTCATGCAGGCTCTGTCAATCATAGCCAGGGGAGGTGTGGCTAGGGCTGCATAAACAGAAACAACGTGATTTAACTCCTAAATGGCAGTGAATTGAGCAGTGAAATTGCAGGGGAATGAACTATACACTAAAACTGCTTTATTTAGCTAAAGTAATTTAGGTGACTATAGTGTTCCTTTAACAGGCATTTTATTCAGAATTGCTTCAAATTAATTTTTTCAGACATCTAGTAATAACCCATTGTCTACTGTCTGGAATATATGAGGGAGTAAAGAATAGTCATTTATTGCTTAGGTTACAGTGCTTATATTGTCCCTTTTAAAAGCTGACGTGACTGACCGTGGATTAACTGTCTTGTTTAACCTGTTCAGTTTCAGACAGGACGTCAACATATGTCCAAAAGCTTATAGAACACTACCATGCTAAACTGACATTGATAACATGGAAGTGTTCTTATTCGGTCAAAGATCCAGGCCGTTCCTTGCTGCCGGTAACCCCATTGGGTTATACCAAATCATTCCTAAGCGGTTTTATATTAAACCAGGGGATGGCACCAGAGTGCCCCTTCAAGACAGAGTACGAGAGAACACATTTTCTAATATTATATTCCCAATATCAAATGTTTATTATCAAAATATATAATATATTTAATCTTCATCCAAAATACACCACACAGACCAGCTTTAATCATGGCATAACCTTTATCTCACTGTGACAGTTCTCCATTAACTAATGTTTGCAATAAGGAATAGTGTCTATTATTACTAAGTTCTTTTCATGTAACCTAATATACCAGTTGATGCCATATTCTCTCTGTATATATTTAAGAGTAATATTTTGTTTTCTACACAGTAAAGTAAAAGTTCTCTTCAAATTCACCAAAGTGGACAGTCGCCCAAAGGAAGATACACAGAAACTACTGGGAATTCTCGGAGCTTCAGAAGAGGACAATATAAAACTTCTAAAGTTCTGGATGACTGGGCTCAGCAAGACTTACAAATCCCACCTTATGTCCAGTGTACGCAGCCCCGCGGTCTCAGAGTGCCGGAACTAAGACTCCTAATCTTTGGGCAGGATTTGATCCAAGGCCATGGCATGCACCTGGCTAGACAGTATTAAAAACATATATTTATATAAACTTTTCTCTATCAAAGTGAAAATAATGATCTGCTTTCAGATAGAAGCAATGTAAAATTCTGCAAGGACTCGACTCGTGAATACTTTAGGCTAGCCATATCCAACATAACAGATTGTGCCAGGTCGTGGGCTTGTCTGTTCAAGACCATAATGCTCATAACCATTCTTAAAGAAACAGAAGAAATACATTTTAAGATAAGCTTGAATTTATTCACTAAATGTAAGTCATAATTCATAAAACCTTCCTATATTTATTGCAATAGCACCGGCGATGGTTAGCTTATGATCTAAATGTGTGCAGACTGTGATTCCATTTGACAACCAGCCAATCATTCAACAGGCTGAGCGTCAGAGGAACTGTAATTTAAAGATTATTAAATGTTTCTATATCCCCAAGGTAAGCCAGAGATACAGCCATCTGTTGTATCTAGATCCATTGGCCCCCTGAGCCTCACAATTTGCGAGCTAATGTTATTTTGTGATCTCCTAGGCTACAGGACTCTGGAAATACTACTATACATGGATGGAAAACATGTAACTGTACTGCGGAGGAACTATTTCCAGGTTGGACTGTTCACTTTTTCCGAAGTCAGACATTTACAAATGTATGAGTCACCCACTGATGTTGCCTTCTAATTAACTCGCTCAATATTATGGCCAATTTACTCTTCTAAAGCTGGAGATCCTCTCCTACCATGTTTGATATTAGACCACGTCACACATTTGTTTAGGTAGAAATGGGAACTTACTTATTTTACAGAGAAAAGCAAATCAAGCTTGTTAAAGGTTGCGTAATTATGCATTTGAACATGTTAGGATGTTATTTTCATCATATCCAAATGGGATACTATCCCTTTTAAGTTTAACAATTTCCTATGTGTAAGTTTATAATCAGGTTAATTTCTTGAAACTGGCTCACACACTGGGGTCATGAATAGTGGAATGTGGAAAAAAATATTTTGGGGATTTTATATTTTAGAACAAAATGTTAAAAAAAGCTCAGATTTGGGCAATTTTTTACTAGTTCATCTACTCCCCCCTCCTCCCCCAAATTTTTGTAGTTCCATTGTTATTTATCCATAATTTCAGGTTCAATAAATAACCCTAATAGATTTCAAATTAAACATTAAATATAATTAAATGATCAGCCATTCTATAGTATTACATGGCATATGTCGAGTGAGTATTTATCAAATACGAGGATCTTTGTTTTAAACAGTAATGTTTTTGTTTGTTTCTTTTAATAAGTAGTCTCTCTGATTATAATTGTTTGTGGGGTGTATCCTTTACCATACTCACAGCAAATGCCACCTCCCAGAACAGTCCTTTCTAACCACAGTTGTTTACGGTCACGCTTCCTGGTTGCCCTGTCTGACTGTGTGAACTGCAGTTGAAAAAACTCTTGTACCCCATTTTACACTTCTAAATTCTATGTATTTTTTTCTTCTATTACCCCATTAAGCAGCATTTCAATAGTTTACGTTTTTGAAAATTTTTGTATTCACGAAACCCAGGTTTTGGTGAATTGAAACCTGATTGGCAAAAGTAATAGATCTGTAAATAAATCTTCTGTTTGCTATAATTTTAGCTTGGCTATTTTAGCATTGTTTTTGACATTTGAATTTCTATTCACAGCAGTTCAGATTTTGACAAGTAAACCCCGAAATGTAAATTTTACTATAAAATGCAACTTTGTATACATGTGTTACATGATTGAATTTGTTTGTTACAAAAATAAAAGCTCTAGTTTTAAAATATTGAACAATTTTATTAAACATTATTTGTGGGAAAGAATTCAGTTTGAGTGACCAACATCAGAAACAAAATGTTCTTTAACCCCTTAACAATGCTTGACGGAAATTTTTCCGTCAAGGCAGACCTACCGTTAAGGATGCATGATGCAAAACTTCCGTCATTTACTAAAGCTAATCCCAGATCGCGGGGTTGACACTCCTCCGATCTGCCTCGTATTTGAGGCAGATCAGGAGCACCCGATGGCGCTGTCCCTGCAGCTGTGATCGCTCTGACAGCCTCTCAGAGTGAGCACATGTGCTGCAGGGACTTCTGATCCGCCTCCCTGTATGAAAAAAAAAATAGTTTAAAATCCTAACCCCCAAACCCACTTTAAATAAAAATTAACCCCTTCCCTGCCAATTGATCACTGACTTCAGTGATCAATTGGCCGGGACTACATTTGACTGATCTGATATTGTTTTATTTTTTATTTTATTTTTTTAACCCCTGAGGGTTAACTTATTTATTTTTTAACCCTCAGGTTTTATTAATTAAATATTTTAAAATTATATAGTTAGCTAGCTGGGTTGGGTGGAAGTTAGTGGGGAATTTGGTGTTAGGCTAGCTAGGGGTTAATGGTAAAAAACTGTTTTTAAATAAGCTTTAAAAAGTTTTAATGTTTCAAAAAAGTACAAAATATCCCACCCCCACTTTACCCAGTACTAATAAAAATTAACCCCTTCCCTGCCAGTTGATCACTGCCTACAGTGATCAAAATACAGATCACAGTATTATACTGTAATCCGATAATTTTTTTTAATTTTTAAACCCTCGGGGGTTATCTTTCATTATTTTCTTTTTTAACCCTCAGGGGTTCAATTTATTTCACTAATTTAATTTAAATATTTTTAAATAATATTTTGTTAGCTGGCGTGGGTAGGAGTTATAGGAAATTGGGGAAATTACTGTTAGTAATAATTATTGAAGATAAAAAGTCCAACCTAAAAAGTGTCCTCTCTGTGGTCCTAGGATACAGGAACGCGATCTTCGGGTTATATATAAAAAGTAAAAAGAGAACAAACAATGGTGCAGAATGTATGGTTCAAATGAAGTAAAATTCAAATAATGATAACGAACTCACAATTTTCATAGCTTCTTAACTATTATTATTATTATTATTATTATTATTATTGGGATTGGACATTGTCTATCTTGGCGCAGCCCTCCTTTTATATTTTGATTTTATCCTTTATTTTTAGGGTTCTGGGGGGATTCCTTTTTTGGGTTGCTGCCTTATAGGTTGTTTGGCGCTGTCTCTTTTATTTATTAAATTACTGTTAGTGCTGCTTGCTGCTAGTTAGGGGTTAACGGTAAAAAAAATAAAAAGTTTTTATACAAATTTTAAAAGTGTAGAAAAGTTTTAAGAAAGTTTAACAAACTAGCGAAAAAAGTATCCCATGCGAAGGTTCAAAATATTCCTTTTGAAATACCCCAGGGTGTATTCTTTAAAAAATGGTATGCGTTTGTGGGGAAGTTTGAATAACCAACCAGCTAAACTACTCGGAAATGGAACATGGACACAGCGTAAAACTTAAAAGTTAGAAAAAACCTGAATGGCTGTGTCTCAAATGTGCCCCTTCAACATCCACATATACCTGGCAAAGGTACATACGGGGGTATTGCTGTACTCAGACGACATAGCTGAGCAACATATGAAATATCTTACAGCCGTCGCAAACATAAGATTTGCAAAATATACTGCAAACTCACTTTGTGAGTCAGAGGCAGAAAAAATGCTTATTACCACTACACTTGGTACAAGCTAGCGGAAAAATGATCCCACGTTAAGGTTTAAAAAAATGCCTTTTAAAATACCCTGGGGTGTCTTCTTTAAGAAATGGTATGCCTTTATGGGATAGTTGGAATATATAGTCTGCTAAAATACTCCAAAATGGGAACTGGACACAGCGTAAAAATTAAAAGTTTGAAAAAAACTGGAATGGTTGTGTCTCAAATGTGCCCCTTCAATTTCTACATATACCTAGCAAAGGTACATACGGGGGTATTGCTGTTCTCAGACGACATAGCTGAGCAACATATGAAATATCTTACAGCCGTCGCAAACATAAGATTTGCAAAATATACTGCAAACTCACTTTGTGAGTCAGAGGCAGAAAAAATGCTTATTACCACTACACTTGGTACAAGCTAGCTGAAAAATTATCCCACGCTAAGGTTCAAAATATGCCTTTTGAAATACCCTGTGATGTCTTCTTTAAGAAATGGTATGCCTTTATAGTGTAGCTGGAATATGTAGCCTGCTAAAGTGCTCCAAAGTGGGACACTATCGCATCAAAACCCTCCATGAAAATTCACACTTAAAAACCTGAACTTGTCACGTCTCTTTTACAGCACTGTAACATCACAAAATAGTGTCTAGGTCATACATTGGGCATATTATTTTACTCAGAAGATGTAACTGAGCATAATTTGGGGGATTTTATGACAGTGGTACATATAAAGTTAAAAAAAAAAATACTCTGCAAAAATGCAACATATATGTAAAAATCACATTTTTGTTCCCCTTCACCACAAACATTGACATACAATGGTGACAAGGTAAGGCACAATATACACCATATAAGATACCCTGGGTTGTCTGCTTTCTCAAATGGAAGCCTTTTGTGGGGTTATTTGAACTGTCAAACAACTATAATACCCTAAAATGAGGCATAGGACCATCATATCCATCTATGAAAATTCTGACTATAGAAACTGAAATAGCCTTGTCTCTTATATGGCACTGTAGCTTTACAGAATAGTGCCGAAGGCACACAATGGGGGTATAATTATACTCAGCAGATGTATCTGAACACAATATAGGGTTCTGTGCAGGAATAGCACACACCAGCTTTACGAAATACACATAAAAAAACCTTGTTATATGTGTATATGCCAAAATAGAGAAAAAAACGCAATTTTACTCCAATATTTAGCAGAGATTGGCGATGAAATAGCTACGTAAAAAGTGTCAAACTAACCTTAGATAAATAGCCTTTGATGTCTACTTTATATAAATATATACTTTTGTGTGCCAATATGGTTTCTGTGATGGCTACTAAACCTACAAGGCAAACATACCAGCTTCTAAAATTCTTTAACATTTAAATTGTATTTTAGTCCTTGTATTTTGTGACCTGTAACTTTCAAAATAAGCTGAAATCCTATACAAACTATGTACTCTATAAATCAAGACACATAAATTATTTTGAATTATTTTTTCTAACTGGACATATTATGCACATGCTATTATTGACAAAACTGTGAAAAAAATATATATTTCCCTCCATTTTTTGGCATTTTTTTTTTAATTAGTGAGAATTTATGTATATGTGACATCAAATTAATGCCCTTTTTGCCCTCTAAAAAAAATGGTATATAATATGTGTTGGTGCAATAAATGACAGAGATGCAAATTGCGTTTGAGCACACACAGCAAAAGATGCAAAAAAGGCTTGTGTCCTTTAGGGTAAGTCCAGTTGCTGCTCTCAGCTATTTGTCCAGCTAACCATTCCTCATATTGCAGATCGGATGGGAAGTGCGCTGGTGGGTAGAGGTACTGGGCACCGGAGACCCAACTTTAGGGGTATATAGTTGCCAAACTGTTAAGACCCTGAAGGTAAGAAGGTGCCCGGATGCTTCTGCCCCCATAACAACTTAAATGAGCTCAAGTTGTTATGGGATGGGTGTGTTCTTTTAAATATGATGTCCTATTTTGGTTAATTATAAAATCTAATCAATTCTTTGTGCAAAGGAATTATTTCCAGAAATGCTAAAAGGCACACACTAAATGCATTAATATATCTATTGCAGTGCCTGCATGTCATAATTGAGTTTATACTAAATACTAACATCCCAGAGGCTGCAGCTTAAATAGTTTAAAAAAAACAAATGTGTTCATTAGCAGTTCAGCTAGCAGAGTGTATAGATAAGTCATCCTTTATTTAAATACCCACTGATAGGAATAGACACCTCATATTCATCAAGTCCCCGGCAACTGACCATAAGGACTGCTTTCCTCAATGTGAAGAGGACCCTATCAACAAAGTGTAATAAAAAGGTTTGTATAATTTTTGCTTCATATATCTGATATTACTATTAAAGAATGGGTCCCCTCACTAATGGCATGTATGTTATTTGGGTCTCTGCCAAAACAGATATGTCTGACTCCAGTGAAGTTTTAGAATAAATTAAAAAAATTTAAAAATCGGCTTATGTGGAGCTTAAGTGGTTAAGCTGTCTGCTACTGAAGTTGATTAAGGACGCAGTAATTTCATAATGAGAGGGAGAATGGAAACGCCATGTAATGGATAATAATGAACAACCTGCTCTTTCTAATTACTAATGTTTTTGACTCTCTCTAATATCGACAGCTTTTTTATTATTGGAAAAATATTTAGAGTGGGATTTAAATGTTCTTTTGGATGGCTGCCGAAGATGTAAATATTTTTTTTTTGTGTCTCTAATCTTAACCTGCTAAACTGGATACATGTGCACTTTTTCAGTCCCTCAGATGTTTCCAATATACTCTCAACTGCCTGCCCCCCGGACACCCTCACCATTTGCCTGCCCCGCGGGCACACACTGTCTGCCTGCCCCGCATCCTGGTGGGCCGCGGCAACTGGGGCTGGGCTGACTACCCTAATCATCACTGATCAGGCTCCTGTAATTAAGGCCGGCCATGTGTGAGCTGTGCGGCCGCGCAGGCCCCCATGGGAGCAGGGGGTGCCAGGCGGCTGACACAGCTCGCACATGGTCGGCCAGGATTATAAAAAACCCAAGCGGAGCTTAGCATGCAACAGGGGCGGGGCTAAACGAGCCCGGTAACTGCGGCATGGGAAGCAGGAAGGGGTCCCTGCTTCCCCAACAACCAGTCTCCAGGAGTACCAAGGGATGTGGAGGTAAGAAACAAGTGTCAGGCTTACAGAATGATCCAGCACGTAGAATTGTGTAACACAGAGGACTGATAGGTAATGTATACCGGACCTTAGAATGGCCGGACTAACGTACCAAAGAATAGTCAGGAACAGCCGAGGTCAAGGGATACAGAAAGAGACACAATGATAAGGAAAAGCCAGGAGTCAGGGATGCCAGAAAACAGGGAAGTCAAAAACAATGCCAAAGCCAAAGTCAAATAACCAGAATAACCAGAATCAATAACGCACTCTCAGACAACCACAAGGGAAACCACGACAGGGCACTGAGTAAGATGAGAACTGGGCCTAAATACCCCTCCTCTAGATCTGATAGGCTTTGACCCCAAAGGCAGTTACCAGGTTCCCATTTGCATAATTGCTGCTCAGCAACAACTTTTTTTTTTTTGGAACAACTTTTCCTGTGTGGACAGTAAATGCCATTAACCACATTTTTATAAGCGGATGAATACAGGACAGCAGGTCAGTGTGTGTATGGCTGTCTGCGTGGATGTCTTTGTGTGTGAGTGAGCTTGTGTGTGTGTGCGCATCCGCTAGTGAGTGAGCTTCTGTGTGTGTCTGTGCATCTGCTAGTGAGTGAGTGTGTGTGCCGGCTAGTGAGTGAGCTTGTATGTGTGTCAGTCAGCTTGTCTGTAGGGATCATGTGTGTATGTGTGTGTTAATGAGTTTGTCTGTAGGGAGCATGGGTGTGTCTGAGCCTGTCTGTGGTGAGCATGTGTGTGCAGTGAGCTTGTCTGTAGCAAGCATGTGTGTGATCGTGTGCTTGTCTGTAGTGACCATATGTGTGTCAGTGAGCTTGTCTGTAGTGAATCTGTGTGCTAGTGAGCTCTTTTGTAGGGAGCATGTGTGTGTCAATGGGCTTGTCTATAGGGAGAGTGTGGGTACATCAGTGAGCTTGTCTGTAGTGAGCATGTGTGTGTGACAGTGAGCTTGTCTGTAGTAAGCTTGTGTGTGTATCAGAGTTTGCCTGTACTAAATTTGTGTGTGTACCAGTAACCTTTTCTGTGTGTGTCACTGAGATTGTCTGTCAATGAGCCTATATATATATATATATATATATATAACAAATATCAAAAAATTACCGGCACTCTTGGATTTAATTCATCTGATTTATTGTGGATCAATTCAAGCGAAGTCAACGTTTCAGCTCCCGATCGCAGCTTTCATCAGGACATAAAGAGCTATATATAAATATAAAACACACACTACATAGCACAATGACTTATGTGGCTGGCATAGATTTTTTTCCAGGGCTGCTTCGTATCCCCAGTCCGGCCCTGCCCGCAGGCACCCTCACAGTCTGCCTGTCCCGCAGGCACCCTCACAGTCTGCCTGCCCCGCTTTAATTTGTCTCATTGATATGTCCTCACTGTCTGCCCGGGACATGCCTAATCTCAATAAATCTAACATACAAAGCTAGCCAGAAAAATGTAGGCACACCAACAAAAGTAAAACCCGCATAAATATTTTAATACTAAATTCTTTCATACTTTAAGAGATGAATGCAAGTTATCCTTGACCTCTACAATTACTAGAGGTGCTCAAAATGGCTGCCATTAGCGTCCAGACACTTTTTAGCACAGAGAATGGCTGCTCGCCAACGTTGCCCCAAGTTTCCAGTGGGATTGCTGCACATGCTTTCTTCCCGAATATCTGCCAGTGTAGCCGGCTTTCTGCGATACACAACATCCTCCAAAGGTAAATAGCGAGAGGTGTAAAAAAAAAAAATGATGTGGAAATCAATCAATAAATTGATTATCTTTGCGTATCTGCCCCTGGCCAAATTAAAGAAGTAATGCGTGGACGCTCCTGAAGTAATTCACACCAGACACAAGTTTCGGGTTAACGAAGAACTTGAGGAATGTTTATTTTGGGGGGACGGCATGCCCCTTATAAAGCAAAATTACATCATAAGCATTGTCAGAGATAACATGAAATAATACATCAATAATTGGTTAGGTGTTAAGTGGTTCATGTAATGCTCTTCCTACCGGGTGTGATGTCACTGGTATCTTGGAGGTCCAGCGCCATCTTGTTAATGAGGGTGTTAGTTGATGTTAAAGGGGAAACTCCCTAGCGGCAATTTTAGTTAAATCACATAGGAAATAGAATAATGCTGATTACAGTTATGTTGAGTAAATAGACATTTTACTAGCATAAATTGGGTTAATATTTTTGTCCACAACAAAAATAAATAATTTTTCTTACAACAAGATGGCACAGCGCCACACCACCACAGAGACGTGCGAGTTTACCTGGCTGAGAATTAGCTGGGACCCTGGATAGGACGAAGAGGTTGAGTTCCCCGCACGTCGCCTTGATAGAACAACTCTCGATATTTACCTATGGAGGGGGGATCGCAGGAAGCCAGATACACTGGCAGATATTCAGGGAGACATTGTATCGACCTATGCAGTAATCCACTGGATACTTGGGGCATCGTTACCCGAGCAGCCATTCTCAGTGTTAATAAGGGCCTGGATACTTGGGGCATTGGTAACCGAGCAGCCATTCTCAGTGTTAATAAGGGCCTGGATACTTGGGGCATCGTTACCCGAGCAGCCATTCTCAGTGTTAATAAGGGCCTGGATACTTGGGGCATCGGTACCCGAGCAGCCATTCTCAGTGTTAATAAGGGCCTGGATACTTGGGGCGTCGTTACCCGAGCAGCCATTCTCAGTGTTAATAAGGGCCTGGATACTTGGGGCGTCGGTACCTGAGCAGCCATTCTCAGTGTTAATAAGGGCCTGGACGCTGAGGGTGAGCACTCCGAGCGGCCATTCTCAGTGCTAATAATGGCCTGGACGCTGAGGGCGAGCACTCCGAGCGGCCATTCTCAGTGCTAATAATGGCCTGGACACTGAGCACTCCGAGCGGCCATTCTCAGTGCTAATAATGGCCTGGACGCTGAGGGCGAGCACTCCGAGCGGCCATTCTCGGCGCTAATAATGGCCTGGACGCTGAGGGCGAGCTCTCCGAGCCGCCATTCTCAGTGCTAATAATGGCCTGGACGCTGAGCACTCCGAGCGGCCATTCTCAGTGCTAATAATGGCCTGGACGCTGAGGGCGAGCACTCCGAGCGGCCATTCTCGGCGCTAATAATGGCCTGGACGCTGAGGGCGAGCTCTCCGAGCGGCCATTCTCAGTGCTAATAATGGCCTGGACGCTGAGGGCGAGCACTCCGAGCGGCCATTCTCAGTATTAATAACGGCCTGGACGCTGAGGGCGAGCACTCCGAGCGGCCATTCTCAGTGCTAATAATGGCCTGGATGCTGAGGGCGAGCACTCCGAGCGGCCATTCTTGGCGCTAAAAATGGCCTGGATGCTGAGGGCGAGCTCTCCGAGCCGCCATTCTCAGTGCTAATAATGGCCTGGACGCTGAGCACTCCGAGCGGCCATTCTCAGTGCTAATAATGGCCTGGACGCTGAGCACTCCGAGCGGCCATTCTCGGCGCTAATAATGGCCTGGACGCTGAGGGCGAGCTCTCCGAGCGGCCATTCTCAGCGCTAATAATGGCCTGGACGCTGAGGGCGAGCACTCCGAGCGGCCATTCTCAGCGTTAATAACGGCCTGGACGCTGAGGGCGAGCTCTCCGAGCCGCCATTCTCAGCGTTAATAACGGCCTGGACGCTGAGGGCGAGCACTCCGAGCGGCCATTCTCAGCGTTAATAACGGCCTGGATGCTGAGGGCGAGCACTCCGAGCGGCCATTCTCAGTGCTAATAACGGCCTGGACGCTGAGGGCGAGCACTCCGAGCAGCCATTCAAGGTGCCAATAATGGCCTGGACGCTGAGGGCGAGCACTCCGAGCGGCCATTCTCAGCGCTAATAACGGCCTGGACGCTGAGGGCGAGCACTCCGAGCGGCCATTCTCAGTGCTAATAACGGCCTGGACGCTGAGGGCGAGCTCTCCGAGCCGCCATTCAAGGTGCCAATAATGGCCTGGACGCTGAGGGCGAGCTCTCCGAGCGGCCATTCTCAGCGCTAATAACGGCCTGGACGCTGAGGGCGAGCACTCCGAGCGGCCATTCTCAGCGCTAATAACGGCCTGGACGCTGAGGGCGAGCACTCCGAGCGGCCATTCTCAGCGCTAATGATGGCCTGGACGCTGAGGGCGAGCACTCCGAGCGGCCATTCTCAGTGCTAATAACGGCCTGGATGCTGAGGGCGAGCTCTCCGAGCGGCCATTCTCAGTGCTAATAACGGCCTGGACGCTGAGGGTGAGCTCGCCGAGCTGCTCTAGTAATTACAGAGGGCACAGGTAACTTGCATTCATCAATTTAGTATTTTAATATTTGTGCAGGTTTTTATTTTGTTGGTGTGTGTGTTTGTATCAGAGTCGCTCTGTGTATCCCCTCTCACTGCCCCCATACGCTCAGTCCCCTGGTATCTAGGGGGAAGGAGCTGGCTCTGCAGATCATTGCACTGTCCCTTTAACACCGCTTTCCCAGAATTCCAGGCTCTGGTTCTCCCACAAGCCTTGGCGTCACACTTACCTCTCACACAGTTCCCGCGGTTCCTGTGACCCCGCCCCCCGTGTTTTCCCGCGGTTCCTGTGACCCCGCCCCCGGTGTTTTCCCGCGGTTTCTGTGACCCCGCCCCCCGTGTTTTCCCGCGCTGGCGCTGAGGGAGCCGATAATGGCGGTGTTTGCGGGCGGTGTGCCGTGGCGATGGCTGGGCCTGGCCGGTCTGGTTCTGACTCTCAGCCTGGAGGCCGTGGCGCGGTATGTCCGGGGGAGGCGGCGGCCGCTGTGTGAGGTGTTGTTTTTCCCGGTCCCGGTGACCTGCCCGGAGCCCGCGCTCTCCCCCGGCCTGAGCTGCCCCTGCCCGCTCCCCCACACCGACAGCGCCCTCTCCCGCCTCCTCCGCCGGATCCTGGCGGCCCAGCGCAGCCTGGAGCTCTGCGTGTTCACCGTGTCCTGCGCTCCGCTGGCCCGGGCCGTCCTCCAGCTCCACCTCCGCGGGGTCCGCGTCCGCGTCATCACCGACAGCGACTACATGGCGGCCTCGGGCTCCCAGATAGGGGCCCTCCGGAGTGCGGGTGAGGGGCCCGTGTGTATAATGTGACCTACTACTACACCCCTCACTTCCTCTCATCCCATATCCATTATATCACCTCAATTACCTCATTATATCACCTCAACTACCTCATATCACCTCCCTGACCCTCAACTACCTCATTATATCACCTCCCTGACCCTCAATTACCTCATTATATCACCGCCCTGACCCTCAATTACCTCATTATATCACCGCCCTGACCCTCAATTACCTCATTATATCACCGCCCTGACCCTCAATTACCTCATTATATCACCGCCCTGACCCTCAATTACCTCATTATATCACCGCCCTGACCCTCAATTACCTCATTATATCACCCCTGACCCTCAATTACCTCATTATATCACCGCCTCTGACCCTCAATTACCGCCTGACTCATTATATCACCGCCTGACCCTCACTACCTCATTATATCACCGCCCTGACCCTCAACCTTACCTCATTATATCACCGCCCTGACCCTCAATTACCTCATTATATCACCTCCCTGACCCACAATTACCTCATTATATCACCGCCCTGACCCACAATTACCTCATTATATCACCGCCCTGACCCACAATTACCTCATTATATCACCGCCCTGACCCTCAATTACTGCCCTGACCCTCAATTACCTCATTATATCACCGCCCTGACCCACAATTACCTCATTATATCACCGCCCTGACCCACAATTACCTCATTATATCACCGCCCTGACCCTCAGTTAAACCAATATATCACCGCCCTGACCCTCAGTTAACCCAATATATCACCGCCCTGACCCTCAGTTAACCCAATATAGCATCCTCTCTTTTCACCAGATACTTCTTAATTAAATCCTCTCTCTACCACAGGTTCTCCTTTATTACCCCATTATCACCCTGTCCAATATACTCCTTAATAACTCAATGACACACATATCACCAGAAGATATAACTGCCTTCTCAGATACCTCCTCCTGCCCTAATACTTTTAAATGTCCCCTTTACATCTCCAGTGTCTAATATACATGGCATACCACATTACATAAACTGCCTAGTTCAAAATCTGCTTCACAGACTAAATGCTTTCCAACTGCAATATCCCAACATATAACCCTTTTCACTGGCCCTGATATGTAACTATCCCAAATTCATGGAGTAAAACATTTTAGAATAATTCCACTTAAGGTCAGTAATTAACTTTTGGTGTTTTTATATACCAAAACACTAATAATGGAGTGGTAGCTACTTAACCCCTTAAGGACCAAACTTCTGGAATAAAAGGGAATCGTCACATGTCATGTGTCCTTAAGGGGTTAAAGCGACACTGTAGTCACCAGAACTGCTACAGTTTAGTGCAGGCATAGGCAACCTTCGGCACTTCAGATGTTTTGGACTACATCTCCCATTAAGCTTTTCCAGCATTATGGGTGATGTAGTCCACAACATCTGGAGTGCCGAAGGTTGCCTATCACTGGCTTAGTGTGTTCAGAGAAAATGCAGTGTTCACATTAAAGGCCTAGTGAAACATCCACTGGCCACTCCTTAGATGGCTGCTAAAGCTGCTTCATTGGGCAGTGCTGCAGAGTAAGCAGCACTGCCATTCAGTGTCTCCACCCTCTGCATGCAGACTGAACTTTCCTCATAGAGATGCATTGATCCAATTCATCTCTATGATGAGATGCTGATTAGCCAGGGTTGTGTTTGACTTGTGCTGGCTCTGCCCCTGATTTGCCTCAGACTATCACTTCTGATGATGTCAGCAGACATGGGCAAAGCAAGCGGTAACATGCTTAAATACAAGTAAGATTTTACTATAGTTAAGAAGGTGGGTGGCTAGATGGTGGTTTTAACACAATAGGGTCAGGAATATATATGTTTGTTCCTGATCCTATAGTGTTCCTTTAACTGTTAGGAGATGATCCCCAACTATTCAACCTCCTAAGCCTAATTCTGATTCCAGGAAATGCTGACTTTTAAATGCTAACCATGGACATACTAAACATTTGCTGATAAACCACTACTCCGATTTAAGGAAAAACAAACTCAACATTGGACATGCACTTAACCCCTTAAGGACGCAGCTTCAGAAGCTGGACATACCCTTAAAGGACAACTATAGTGCCCTGAGGGTGCCCCCACCCTCAGGGTCCTTCTCCCGCCGGGCTCTGAGGAGAGGAAGGGGTTAAAATCTTACCTTTCTCCAGCGCCAGGTGGGGAGCTCTCCTCCTTCATAGTGACGTCATCGGCTGAATGCGCATGCGCGGCAGGAGCCGTGCGCGCATTCAGCCAATTCATAGGAAAGCATTTACAATGCTTTCCTATGGACGCTGGCGTCTTGGCACGCAAGCGCCTCTAGCGGCTGTCAATGAGACAGCCACTAGAGGCTGGATTAACCCTAATATAAACATAGCAGTTTCTCTTAAACTGCTATGTTTATAAAAAAAAAAAGGGTTAACCCTAGCTGGGCTTGGCACCCAGACCACTTCATTAAGCTGAAGTGGTCTGGGTGCCTATAATGGTCCTTTAAGGACTCAAGCTACTTTTGCATTTTTTGCTGATTGTGTTCAACTGCAATTTGCATCGCTCTCATTTATTGTATCAACACATATTATTATATATCGTTTTTTAAAGGACAAAATGGGCTTTACTTTGATATGACTTATACATATATAAAATCTAATTTATTATTTAAAAAAATATATATATTTTTTTCACAGTTTTGGCAATAATAGTGTGTGCATAATATGTCCAGCTTAGGAAAAGTAATTCAAAATAAATTCATTTAGGTGTCTTGTTTTTCAAAGTGCATAATATGTAAAGGATTTCAGCTTATTTTAAAAGTTACAGGTCACAAAATACAAGGAGTAATATAAAATTTAAATGTGAAAATTTTTTAGAAGTTCGTATGTTTGACTTGTAAGTTTAACAGCCGTCACAGAAAACATTGCTACACAAAAGTATATATTTATATAAAGTAGACATCACAGGCTATTTATTTAAGGGTATTTTGACACTTTTTATGTAGCCATTTTCCCACCAATCTCTGCTACATATTGTAGTAAAATTGTGTTTTTTTCTGTTTTTTGAAACACACACATATAACAAGGTTTTTATAAATGTGTATTTTGTAAAGCTGGTGGTATCCGAAAGCAGAAGTGACCTGTCTGAATATCTCTGCTGCTAGGCCCTGCTGATGGCTCCCCACTGTGGCACTCAGTGAGCAGCACTGAAATTAGCTGAAACTGAAATGTAAGAAAAGTACATTTCAGCTGAGGATTTGCCTTTTTAAAAGGATTAATGCATTGTGAGTAGCCATTTGCATTAAATAAATGCCCACTTTCTTATACCAGGCCCTAGTCTTTCTCATTATTAGATATAGCTGCAGCAGTTGATCAGACAGGTCAACTCCCCCCATGTGTTTATTGTATTGCTTAATGCAGACAGGCAGCTGTCTTGTTTCCTGTCTGCCACGGACTGCGACCCTGCGTGTGTGTTCACTGTGCATGGTAGTCCGTATGAACACATCCTTTTTGTCTCTGTATTTCAGATTCAGCAGTTCGTCCTGGCATAGAGCAGTCGTTTCCCCCTTTTTAATTTTTGTCTCTGCCAGAGCCTGGGGGAAACCAGTGCGTGTCTTGCGGATAGTGCTGCAGACCACAGTCTCAAAACAATACAGCATTTTTTGGAGGGGTATGCTATTGTAATAATTATCAAGGTAGAGGTGGTACCCCTTGTTCAGTAGCGGGTTCATTAGATCCCAAACTATTTTTCCGCTAGTCCCAACTATATCAGGGCAACCTGGGGGATCCCGGTGGCTATCTTTACCTTCATATACTCTGAAGGTATAAACATACCCACTGCTACTTTCACATAACTTGTATAGCTTGATGCCATACCGGGATCTTTTAGATAAAAAGAAATAATGGAAGTGCACTCAACCTTTCATTTAGGAATCTAGGGTGCTCCACTGGACAGGTCCCAGTACCAATATGGACCAAATATAAAGTTATTAGTTGTAGGAAGTAATCCAGACACTCCAACGAATTCCAAAAATAGGCAATTTTATTGGAACCAGAAGTTAAACAGCAACGTTTCAACTCCTCAGGGTCTTTATCAAGCATTGATAAAGACCCTGATATTGATAAAGACCCTGAGGGGTTGAAACGTTGCTGTGTAACTTCTGGTTCCCACAAAATTGCCTATTTTTCGAATTCGTTGGAGTTCCTGGATTACTTCCTACAACTAATACTGGGATCTTTTGGCTGGGATGTATTGCTTGAACCCCAGTCTACCCTTGTATTTAATTAGGGACTCGTCAATACATCTATTCTTTTGGGGAGTATAAATTATGCCAAATTCGTTATTAAATGGTTAATTAGGGTGCGGATTTTATAAAGTTTGTCATACTGCAGATGATCTTTGGGGTGGCACTTCGAATTATCATTGAAGTGCAGAAAACGCAGTACTGATTCGTATCTGGGCCTACTCATGGTCTGAGAGAAAATGGGAGTATTGCATACTGGGTTTTTTGACCAGTACATTCGGATGCTGGGCTTTTTTATAATTCCCATTAGCATGGTTAGTGTCACAGAACTGTTTTAACTCTGGCACACTGGTGGGGTACCAGCTCCCTTTTGTGGCAAAGTGACTTGCTGCATTTTGTGCCAGATACTGCGCTGCATAAATATTTGTCTGTGTAACTATCTGCCCTAAAAAATTATCCCCAAGGAACAGCTCCATAAAATCCAGGAGTCGCATTGAACAGAGGGATGTCGGGGACAAAATTGTTAGGGGGCACCCAGATATAAGCGCCAGGAGCAGTGCCAGGGCTATCGTCACTTTCTTCATTTGTGTCTGGCACATAGTCACGCTCTGCACTCTCTGAGGCAGTGTCGGTTGCCTCTGAGTCGGTTGCTAATATATTATATGCCTCCTCGGCACTAAGCATTCTAAGCATGGTGAAAGCTTAAAATTAACTTTAACTAAATAACTTTTTGTTTTTAACTTTTTTTATACTTTTTTTTTTTTTCCTGAACTTTTTTAAATACTTTTTTTTTCACTTTTTTAAAACTCTTAAAAACTTTTTCTAAAACTTCTAAAAACTTCAAAAAAATGAACCCCTGTGGGTAAAAACAGAAATCAGATCACTGCTAAACACAGTGCTTACACCTAGCAAAGCAGAAATGCTTTGACTTAAAATAAACTACTTTTATTTCCTCTTTTTTAATACTTTTTATAAACTTTTAATAACTTTCTAAAACTTTTCAGCTTCCTAGCTACACTAATGCTAGATTCCCCAATTCCCCCTAGCTTCAATCCACCCCAGCTAACTAATTAACTGAAAATAATAGTAAAAAAGAATTAAATTAAATATATTTAACCCCCGAGGGTTAAAAAAAAACATGCCCGTAAATCTTGGTTTGAGGTTCTTTAAAACTAAATATTTTAGCATTAAAGAATAGACCTACCTCTTCTTAAACCCTTATGACAAGTGCAGTTCTGGTACTTAGAAGAGAAAGCCTCCTAGAAGACTGGTGGTGGTCAGAACACAGCACTTGTTAATTGTGGCAGGCAAATATCCATTCTGTGCCAATAATAGATATCAATTGCTGTGGTCCCAGACCAGCAACATCTTACCCAGCATGTAACTGCCCCCTTTAAAAAAAAAAAAAAAAAAAAAAAAGGGTGGGCGAGTAGTGTTTGTTCCCCCTCTCATTGAAACCGCATCAATATGCAAAAGTTTCCCATGTAATATATGTATTCTAAAAAAGCTGAGAAAATGCTTGTTTAGCATGAAACCTGGTAGATCTGGGTCCATTTGTTTTGTGCCTTTGCTTTTTGTCCCAAGCTTTTAAATGGAACAGACATTTTCACAGGCTGTGGTTTTACCAATAGCATTTGTTTGCCACTATTTCTGGTTGTATTGTAAGCACTCTTCCAAAAGCTGTTGTGAAGAAGCGGTACTTGGGCCCAGGAAACAGTGTACACTGCAGGAAATATTGCAAACTACAGTAGAGATTTTTTTATAAGCACAAGTGAATTCTTCCCTTTGTACAACACAATCTGTTTTCTTGGGATTTTTGTCATCTTTGATCTGATTTTGAACCCAAGGGCATATGTTGTTTTGAAGTGAGGTATCTGTCAAAACTAGTGCTGTGAGATCAGCGAAACGTGTCAGGCTTTTAATAAAATCACAATGGCATTTTATTACCGTTTGTAATATTGCTGTTCGGAGGGAATACCAGTTCCCCAGATGCCGAGTTTGTCATACTGAGCTAGGTGAAGCGTACCTGAGGATGTAGATTCCACATCTCCCTTGTTTTGATATGGTTCTTTCAATATCCTACATTTCACAGTAACGATGCTCAACATCCTCTGAAAATTGGTTCATGTGTAATATCTGGCAAAAGACTTATGAACTAGTGAATATGGGTGGCACATGGTGCAATAGTATGTATAAGTATTAATTTTAAAGATGTATTTATTTTTTGATCAGGTTGTGTTGTTTTGTTTTGTTTATTTAATACAAAAACCCTAAAATGTAGTAGCTGTAGTTGATGCGTTTGGAACCTAGAGAACTTGCAGCTATCTCATAAAACTCTTTATATTGCAGGAGTCATCGTACGCCACAACCAGACCTCTGGTTTCATGCATCATAAGTTTGTGATTATGGATAGGACAGTTGTTATGACTGGTTCTCTCAACTGGACCATGCAGGCTATCCACACCAATAAGGAAAATGTCCTCATTAGTGATGACCAAACATTCGTAAAGGCATATCTAGAAGAGTTTGAACGACTGTGGGAAGAGTATGATCCAGCTACATACGATTTCTTCCCTGATAAAGACCAGAAGTGATCTCTTACTTCAAATTTCAATAGTTTGTTTTACTCCTCTACTTTTGGAGATGTGCACATTACAGAAGATTTCTGTGCAACAGTTGGAGTATTTGTTCCTCATCTTGCTAGTTGCAAAATACTGTTTTACAGTAATAAAATGTTCCATGTTTTGACTGTTGTGAAATACACCAAAGAAAACTCTTGAAGTGACTGGCATTAATAAATCATTTAATCGAAACTGCCACCGTAGGCTTGGGTACAAGATGTAGATGAAGTTAGACACCACAAATACAAAAATATATTTAAAAAAAAATATTGATATTAAGTAGACATAACACCACTGAAACCATGCATTCAAAGCGGATTCCCTACCCCCCCACAGCTCTATTGTCTGCAGCCTCTCTAAGCCATCCCCCTCCTAACCCCACCCACTGTCCAATGACAGACTACCCAGTGCAGCGCAATGATATGTCTTTGCAAGGCAGGTGCTTTGTGCAATTGCTGCCTCTTGAGTTTAGCTCTACTAAGCTAAACAACTAGGAAGTATCAGATTGATAGCCAGGGGGTGTGATGCCTCCAATAGAAACATAGAATGTGACGCAGATAAGAACCATTCGGCCCATCTAGTCTGCCCAATTTTCTAAAAACTTTCATTAGTCCCTGGCCTTGTCTTATGTCTATCCCACGCATGCTTAAACTCCTTCACAGTGTTAACCTCTACCACGTCAGCTGGCAGGCTATTCCATGCATCCACTACCTTCTCAGTAAATTAATACTTCCTGATATTATTCTTAAACTTTTGCCCCTTTAATTTTCAGACTGTGTCCTCGTGGTAGTTTTTCTTCTTTTAAATATAGTCTCCTCCTTTACTGTGTTGATTCCCTTTATGTATTTGAATGTTTCTATCACATCCCCCCAGGTCTTGTCTTTCCTTGTAAGATTTATCCTGCAATCCATAAACCAATTTAGTAGCCCTTCTCTGAACTCTCGTTAAAGTATCAATATCCTTCTGGGGATAGTTTGCAATACTCATAGTGAAGTCTCATTAGTGTTCTTTACAATGGCAAGAGCACTTTCCTCTACTGCTAAAACCTCTCCATGTACAACCAAGCATTATGCTAGTATTTCCTGCTGCTCTATTACATTGTCTGCCTACCTTTAAATCATCTTAAAATAATTACCCCTAAACCCCTTTCCTCAGATGTTGAGGTTAGAACTCTATCAAATATTCTGTTCTCTGCCCTTTGGCTTTTACATCCAAGATGCATTATGAGGCACATATCTACATTAATTGTCAGCTGACCATTTTTCTAATTTACCTAAATCTTTTGGCTTATGGCTCCTGGAACATCAACCCTGTTACATATCTTAGTATAATCAGCAATGGGTACATGAACATAAGAACTGGACCATGGAGCCATGGAAGAAGGTTGCCTGGTCTGATGAATCACATTTTCTTTTAAATCAGTTGGATGGCAAGGTGCATGTGCATAGTTTACCTGTGGAAGAGATGGCAGAATGCACTATGGGAAGAAGGCAGGACATGGGAGGCAATATTCTTCAGAGAATCCGTGGGTCCTGGCCTCAGGTGGATGTTCATTTGACACGTACCACCTACCTAGAGATTATTGCAGACCACGTACACCTCTTTATTGCACTGATGTTCCCTGATGGCAGTGGTCTTTGAGCTGTTAAATGTACCCTGCTGCACTACAAACATTTGTGCATGAATGGTTTGAGCCTCATGACAAGGTGTTGCCTTGGCCTCCAAATTCCCTAGATGGATAGCACAATGCAGATTCATTTTCTCACCTTTATTATTTTTATAAAGCACCAACATATTATGCTGTGCTGTACACTTAGTATACAAACACAAAGATAAAGCACCGCGCTTACAGCAGCAGTAGCTTAGTATCCAACAGCTCAAAATACATAGTAAAAACAAATAACGTTACCTGCGCTCTGGCCTAAATCCCTATGTACATTTAAGGCAAGCCTCAAAAGGCAGTCCTACACTAGCCATTAGATATGCTGATAACAGCAAGAATCAACAGTGAGACAGGAAGGGGTATTTTATAAACCCTTTCTCAGTTAACATACAATAAACTTTGCTGGTATCAGACAAAGTGTAAACCTCTCTGAGACATGAAGGGGTGTTTTATAAACCCCTACATTCTTATTAACCCTGAATAAGGCTCTAACACAAATCACCTTGGTGGTATCAGCTAAAAGGCACATTTCTCTGTTGAGACAGGAAGAGGTGCTGCCCCTACATACTAATAAACTCTTAATAAGACAAACAAAGTAGTATAACAGACAAGACAGGCTGGATAAACATGGAAGCTCCTACTTGAATGAGCTTACATTCTGCTTTTGAGCGTTTTATTTTATTAATATTCCTCTTATAAAGAAGTAAAATAGACTTACAGTTAGCATGTGTAGAAGTAAGCATACAGCAGCATTTCAAAAGATATCTGTATTAAGTGGTGGACCAAGGATAAACATCCTTAGTTATGGAGGCTTTTGCAAGATTCCATGCCTTTGTGCAAGTTCTTTTTGGCGCATTTACTTTATATTGATAGACCATGCTTATGCATAGCACAGTATTACATACAAAATGTAAAAAGTTAAAACCTCCCCGAAACTATTGGGAAAAAGAAAAAAGCATGTGTTGAATGTTCATATGGCTAGGATTTCAATTTGTTTCTGGTAATTATGGGACAAATATTACAAGGAGATAAGTAGAGTTTTAAAGCAAACGCTTTGCAAATCTTTGGCAGCTGAGACTTTAATGGCAGTTATATAAAAAAAAAACCCCACAAACTAAAAAGTATATATTTCTTGAAAGACACCCAGAGCAGTTTGACACTTAATTTCATGATCAGGATGATCACTCAGCCAGGGCAGTAGTGTTGGACTGGGTCACTGAAGCAGTCCAGCGAAGGCCTCATAAGGCTGATAGTGGTGTGTCTGGCACAAAGACTGCCTGTAGACCATAATAGGAGAAGTCAACAGCTGGTCTAGTAAGAATTAGAATGTTGGGGTGCACTCTGTACAGCTATTTTTAGACGTGTTGTAATCGGCTTGTACTAGGGTCTCATGTGTGCCACCAGTGAGTCTCTGGCAGTTAATATCTGATAGGGGAGCTATTGAGGCACTGACATTATAGGAGAGAGGCCCCATTAATTTGCCATGGGGTCAGTTTTGTCTAGCGACAAGGATCTTGCTTCTGCGGTGTTGGTAGATCCATTTCCTTTCCCTATAAGGAAGAGGTGAAATATCAACATGTTTACAATAGCTCCTGCAATAAATGCCATGATAATGTGCTTCCCATCTAGTGGCAGGTAGCACTTTTCATGTACCTACTCAACATATAGAATTCATATCTTGCTCCATACACATATATTGAAATTAGAAGTGACATTATTTCCAGTAAAAGTAATGTATGTATTGCAACTGCCAAAAACACACCCTGATTTTAAAGTTAGTTCCGCCCCCACCCCCCCCTGCAATTTTTTAGATGTACCTGGCGGCATAGACTGCATGAGCAGTTGTGTTTGAAGTTCTTGTGTTTTGCACTTGTGTAGCAAAGTTTTGTTTTTTTCCTGATCTATCCATATTTCTATCATATCAACAGTATTGATTTATTGAGTAGAACCCTTATTTGTTCTATGTGTTATAGATAGTGTTGCTAGACCTACCAAGCTTTTCTTGACAAAACAAAAACAAGGAGAAAAATCTGGCCTCCAGTTATACATACAGGGTTATTTACTAATGTGAGAATTCAACGTGACTTTCAAATCTAAGGCCAGAGTAGCTGAACTGGAAGCATAGAAGACACTTCTCACGTTGGTAAATAAGGTTAGTCATGTAGCCAGACGGATCCCCTCAGAACACTGAGCATTGATGACTTTGGTGGAACCTCTGTGGCCACAGGCTTTGTCTTGAATTGTGTTTAACACATTATCTATTAACTTACTGCTGGGTCTAGAAACGTAAAAGAAGGCACATAGACAGCATTGTGAGGGTGGTGCAAAAATAGTTTATTACGATATAGTTTATGTAAAGTTAAGTAATTATATTTACAAAATAAAAATGATAAGCTACAACCACAGGAAACTAGCCAGTCGCACACATCCAGCGGAGAGAAATAACATGACAAAGTGTAATGCAGTGAGCACGTTAATAAAGAAGGACTTAAAAATATTGCCACAAATAAAAAGGAGAATATAAACCATTCATACTAAAATATTATTCTTAGAAATGAGGAGCCTGGCAAACTAATGCAGCGTTTATTTGTAGCTTGCAGCATACAGCGCCTCCATAATCCCCGCTGTGCTGGAGGTGTGGCCAAGCATTGCATATATACACCACACTGCACATTGGCAAACGCCTAAAGCACTGGGGGGGTTAAAGAGACACACGGCTGCAAGTATTATATAACAAAAACACATATTAGAGAAAGATAAAGGAATAATACATCCAGATAGATGATTTAAATCCCTCCGGTATCCCTTTCTTTAGTGTAGGTGAGGAATTTTACTACAATAAAACAAACATTAAACTTGTACTGGGCTGTCCAGCGAGCGCACATAAATTGGCCAGACTCAAGGATAAGGGTTATAGATCATCAAAATTCTATGATGTCAGCAAATTATTCTACAGGGACCTCAGTTGGCATCCTCTGACATTAAAGTCTATGGTACCTGCCACACCTATGGCTTGGCTAATCCCACAGTTTATTAGAAGCCTCTGATTTAGGCTCCAGATTGTTTTAGTGTAAATGGTTTTGTAGTGGATTAAAAAAAACTGTAGCCTGGGTCTCCAAACAGGTTGTCCATCAATCAGACATAGCTGTTATTAGAGGGAAAGTAAGGGCTTAGGGAGAAGGGGATTTTTTTTTTTTTTAAAGTCAAGAGTTTAATATATAATGGAGAATTTACTGATCATGTTGAAGTTCTTGAGATTGTTCCCAATTACATTTTAAATTGCAGGTTGTTCTGGGTATAAGGGCATTGCCAGTTTAAGAGGACTCTGTGCTATACAGTTTCCAGCTTTTGAAAGAGCCTGCAGTTTAAATTGCGACTAGGAAAAGCTTTACTATGAAATCTCAAACCTGTTCACTTTGGCAACAAGATCGCCATTGCAATCAGTACGTAGATTTATATGTATTATTAGTGCCCACAAGGTAGAAACAGAGGGCTGTAGAATTACAAATTTAATGATACTTTGACAAAAGTTTGGCAAAGCATCTAAGTAAATGTAGTTCTATAACAACAGTGTTTACATTCTGGCCACCTCTGACTAATACCATAGACTCTGTAACCTTAA